GTTTAAGGAGTGAGTGAGTGAGTGAGTATGGTTTTACGCCGCTTTTAGCAATATTCCAGCAATATCACAGCAGGGGACACCAGAAATGAGCTTCACACATTGTACCCACGTCGGGAATCAAACCCGGGTCTTCGGCGTGACGAGCGAACGCTTTAACCACTAGGCTACCCGACCGCCCCTTTGGTTTAAGGAAATGAAGGGCGCTCGGGTAGCCTAGTGGTTAAAGCGTTCGCTCGTCATGTCGAAGACCCCTGTTTGATTCCCCACATGGGTACAATGTGCTAAGTCCATTTCTGGTGTCCCCCACCGTGATATTGCTGGAATATTGCTAAAAGCGGCGTAAAACCATACTCACTCACTCACTCACTTCAAGGAAACTGATTCCACACAAATATGTTTCCTAAAGTTTGTCAAAAACAATCCTTGTAACCACGAACCTGTTACCATGCCATTTTAAGTTAAAACGTTCACAAGTACCAGTAGTTATCACTAGAATACAGTTTTAATTTTGAGATTTTCATTGGCTTTTAAATTTAGTTTGGGGCTCTAAATAACAAAATTCATTGATAATGCTGAAAATATATTTTTTTTGTTACAAATGGATTCACCGACAAAATGGACCCAGAAGCAATGTTGCTGCTTCGTAAATGGCACACAACGTATCAATGGCTACACATTTGGAGAAACAATTCCTCATAAACAACTTATCGATTTGTTGTGGTCGGAAATATAGCATCAAATACAGTCAATAATACTCCTCAAATTGTTGTCATACACAGAATATTCAACACAGGCCTACCTGTTACAAAAATAAACAACTTGTTGGCACATTATTCAGTCAGTAGAGCAATTAATCATAAATATATTCATCTCATCTCAATGTCAGAATGTTCAGATCTGATTGGTTCGTGATCTTGATAAAATACTATGATCCCGCCTGGGAGGGAAATAAATTTCTGAGCAGGAGAATAAATCCCTTATACCCCGCTTCAAAGCAAAAAGCTACAGTGTTTCTGAGTCAATGCAAGTCACATGACACAGCACAACCTTGGCTGTTTTCTATCAATATTCAATTTGCTTTAATTTCTCTACAATGGCAAATTGAAACATGTCGGCAATATAAATTTGTTGTAGCAGCATTACTCGAGGTATATGTTGGTTGGTTTGTTGTTTAACACCTCACTCAGCAATATTCCAGCTATATGACGGCGGTCTGTAAATAATTGAGTCTGGACCAGACAATACGGTAATTAATATCATGAGTACGATCCACGCAATTGGGATCAATGACATGCTCGAGGTATATGTGGTGTTATGCGTCCCTTGTAAGGTTTTCAACCAGAGGCAAGTAGCATAAAATGTAACATGGGATGCATAAAACCACATATGCTCCTCATGACACTGCTACAACTTCTATTTATCTGTCGAGGACTGACATCAACATGAAGTACAGGAAGCACTGCCATAAACAAATGCCAATACACACAAATCAGACGCCTATGAGCTATCACATACCCTGATGGAGAATGCTGCCACCACAACCTCGATGGACATGGCAAGAGTGTATGTACAATCAATGTTGCTGTTCAGTGTTCAATTATATATTTACATATCTACATGTTCAACAGGACAAACCCTTTCAGTGTTCATTCAATAAATGGATGACTTCAAACTGTCGAGTCATAAAAATTGCATACAAAAACATAACATAAATAACAATTAATTTTGTCTGCATTCTCATCTGTCTAGTGTATTGAGTGAGTGAGTTGGGTTAAACGCCGCTTTTAACAGTATTCCAGTTATATCACGGCGTGTCAGCTTAATGTGGGAGGAAAGCCCGAAGTGATGCAGGTCTCAGGCTTCTAACACTTTGATGAAACCCACAAGTACAGGTATGGCTGACAAACCTAGAAACATAATTGGGGCGAACCAGGATTCGAACCCACAATCATAGGTTTCTGGCGTGCCCAAGGGATGCAACTCTATACAGCGAATCGCGGCTCCTTAGTCGACTGGGCCACCTGTGCCCCCTCAGTGTATTGAATCGCCATTCCTCACAACAGTTTCAGAATCATCGCCATCACATCACAATCTAACCCTCTCTTATCTCTGTCTCAGCACAGAATTTCTATCGCTCATGTGAGTAATTTGATTGGATGTTAATCTTAGCATCGTGCCATTTGAAATCAGGTTCAGAACAAAGGTACGGTGGAGAATGGGTCCAGGTGTCCATGACAACAGAATAGAGACATGATACACTTGACTCTAGAGGATGGACCTTTCTGTGGTTCTTAGAGGCCCATCTTGCCACTCCAGCCAACCTCTATTTCTGCTATAGCTTTGCGGTTAGACAATTTACATTTATTTACATACAAGGAGTAATAGAACTTAGAAGTAATTGTCTATGCTCCACAGAGAAAGCCTATTTTTTTTTGGCGGGGGGGGGGGGGGGGGGGCCGAAATTTGGGTCCTGTGAGAATCTGAGACATTGTGTCTGTTTAATTAAAGTAATTACCAGATTGACATCAATCATTAAATTTGAGTTTGCAGATAAACCAAGTGGGTGCTGAATGACCTAACATGGCTTAAAACAGTCAAACTGTCCTGTACAGAAGCCTTTTAGGGCCATTTCTTTTCCCTTGAAGTTTAAATTTCAAGACACATGGATGAAATTTCAAGATACATATTAAGTTGAAATTTCAAGATAATGATCTTCAAATTTTAAGATTATAATAAGAACTTTCAACACATGTTTCTTTTAACATAGAATCTTGAAATTTCAAGAAAAATAGAAAAAACCAAGTGGCCCAAAAAGGCCTCAATAGGTAGTTCCCATTTAATTCTTCAAGATGTTCAAACTAAATGCTATTCCTCAACATGTTGGCAGTTGCTACCTATTAGCTAGTGCATCCCACTGCCACATCCCATGCACCCAGTCATAAATAACACAGTCTATTCACACTGTACAGTACGTACACAAATAACACAGTCTTTTCACATTGTACAGTATGTACACACGGACCTCCACCTTCAAGGAAGCTACCACCTCCTGTCTACCCATGACGAGAAGTGACGCTATTATCAATGAGTTCAAGTTGATTACAACACTACAATAACAATATTACATTTAATTTCTATATGGTTCAACATAAGTAAAATTCCATATCAAGCACATGGGTAATAATTATTTCACGCACCGTACATACAGCATTGTTGATGGAATACAAACACCATTGTCACTCTAACACTGACAGCCTTGATATATGACCTCACAATAGGAATGACATCACAGCATATGAGCATTCCCTCTTCTCCAGGCATCCCCCATACCACGTAATTTGTCTTGGCATCCACTTTAAGAACTCTTGTGAGTGAGTGAGTTGGGTTTATCATCCCAAACTGGCTCCCACAGGAGATATCGCTTGGATTAGATCAAGCGATATCTACACTGTAGATATCGCTGCAATGAAATTACATCACCAATGCTTAGCAGACCATTGTGATGTCACCGGTTACCATGACATCACAATCAAATGACATCACTAATGGCTCTGCTACTGATTTTTACACTGAAAACACTGCTAATTACTGTCTACAAATTGAAAAAGTTGAAACAATGATGTTGGATTATAAATAAAATCTCACCCTCGTGTCTTTTGATATCAAATATATCAACACTCGTTGATAAAAGTGGCAAAAATCCTCGTCTAGCCTCTTTTATCAACTCGTGTTGATACATTTGATATCAAAGACACTCAGGTGAGATTCTCTATTTAACGCCGCTTTTAACATTATTCCAGTTATATCACGGCGTGTCAGCTTAATGTGGGAGGAAAGCCCGAAGTTATGCAGGTCTCGGACGTTTACCACTTCGGTGAAACCCACGAGCACGGGTATGGTGCTGACAAACCTTGAAACATAATCGGGACGAACCAGGATTCGAACCCACAATCATAGGTGCAAGGGTCGCAACTCTGCACATCGAATCGCGGCGCTTTAGACAACTGGCCCCCACTTTTGACATGAAATCTACCGTATAGTGATACCATGACATTTACAATGAAAAATTCAAAATCTCATGAAACCAGCACCATCTGATATATTCACACTGAGGTAAACATCCTTTTCAATAGAAGAGATAAATGTCCAAGGAATAGAAGACCACGTCAGTAAATGTCATTGTCATCCTCTGTCAGTGTCTTCCCACTGCCCTAACCAACATTAAACAAGACTGCCCGGTGTATAATTGCTGTACAGTGTGCTACAATGACAACAACACATTAGCACTAGCCCACTAGCCTGAGCCAGTTTTGTAAGTAAAAGGTATCAAAAGGGCTGGTAGAATTACAAACTTGTTGGAGAATGTTTCTATATGTTATCATGTTTCATGAAACACACCTTCATCAACACTGTTTTAAGGTCAATTGCTTGAGAATCCAAATTGACACTTTTCTCCATGTTCAGCAGGTGCCCCTTTCCGTGGCGATTGACCTGACAAAGGTACAAGGTTACTGATGAGCTAGTCCTTATGATGACGTACACAGGAAAATAGTCCACAATTTTGTCATTTCTACCTAAAAACACTTCAGCGCTCGATGTTTGGCTGCAGGACCAGTGCCAGCAGGCAACACTCCCACAGATGAAGCTAATATGTTGCACATACAATCCACCAAAGGATTGTATTGAATCTATCAGTAGGTGCCCCTTTCTTATGTCAGAGTTTGGCGTTGAAGAGAGGTGGAAGCCTATAGCTGTGTGTATGATGCACCATTAGGAATGAACAGCAGATGCCCCTTTCACTTGCAAGATTTGGATGTTCCCTGGCCAGAGGTGGAAGCATATAGCTGATGATCTTGTCCAAATTTCCCATTAGGAATGTTCATACAACTATCAGCAGGTGCCCCTTTCATCTTCCTTCAACCAGTGTGTGATCAGTGAGAGGTGGAAGCATATAGCTGATGATCTCGCCTACAATTCCCCATTAGGAATGTTCATACAACTATGAGCAGGTGCCCCTTTCATCTTCCTTCACCAGAGTGTGATCAACCAGAGATGGAGGCTTGATGATGAAATGAGCATGTCAATACCACCACTAAAATCAATTCAAGACAGTCCGGGCAGGTGACCCACAGATGTTGCCTGCCCATCTTCAAAGTAACCTGCCCACATTCACACATTATAAGTATTGAAAAATCAAGAAAAATAGAAAACAAATCATGTCTTGATTCAGTTGAAAAATGCACTTTAGAATTTACGAGGAGTTATGATATAACTGAATATGTAAGTAGTCTTAAAATTATCTGTCAGACATTTGTCAGGTGGAGGAAAATTTCATGCAGCCCAACAGGAAAGTTAGCAGCCACGGGCAGGTGGGCAGGCAGTTATTTTGGACACATATGTTATCTATGTCCATCTCTCTGCATATATTGTCCAATATGGTTTGTACCAGACCATTTGATGGTGACTTTCTCTGATCTGTACTGTGAACTATGTGTATTGGGTGCTTGTATCTCGTCCATGCACTGCCCTTCTCATAATGATGTCTTGTCCAATACTTGGCTAAACCTCCTGTTCCTGTACTGATGCTTATAGAGGCAAGAGTGGTGTCAGCAGGAACTGGTTTTCCTGTGTTTTCATTGATAGTGTCACAATTGGTTTGGTATCTCATGCTGGTTTTAGACGTTGTCCCGAGTTGATGACTGATCTTGACACTGTTGCCTTGTCGAAGTTACGTTATGCAGTCAGAAATTGGCCTGGTATCTCATGCTGTTTTTAGACGTAGTCCCGAGTTGATTACCGATGTTGACTTGTTGAAGTTACGTTATGCAGTCAGAAATTGGCGTGGCTGTCCTATTGTTCATGATGACACATCGTGGACTCAGAACTTGGCCTGATTGGCTCTCTGTTTACTGACAGACCAGAGGGGAGCGGCAGTGACCTGGGGAACGCGCTCCACGGTGACGTGCTCGTCCTGGTTGTCTCCCCCTGATTGGTAGTGCCCCAGCAGCTGCTGAATGGCCTGCTCCTCGATCTGCAACAATGGTGTACAACGTGAAAATACATTGCCTACACTTTAAGCCCCTTACAGTGAGGAATGTCAATATATACATATATATAAACAAAAATTTCAATATTCATTTCCATGTACTCGTAATGTATATAACACTAACTCTAGATGTACATGATGCATAAGTAAGTGTTGCTTTAAGCCGCATCAGCAATATTCCAGCTATTCGGGGGTACGTGATGCACAAAGCCATACAAAAAAACAACACTTCGATTTGTTTTCAAGTTGTAAATGATAAACATGGCTGTAAGATACATTTGGTGTAGGCTTTTTCCTCTGAGACTACGGCTTGCTGTGGCTTGCAATACAGGGCAGCACAGAATGTACATCAGACCCGTGAAGATCCGGGGTTGAATAGGTTTTCAGCAACCCATGCTTGACGTAAAAGGCGACTATGCTTGTCGTAAAAGGCGACTAACGGGATTGGGTGGTTAGGCTCGCTGACTTGGTTGATACATGTCATCGATCCCAATTGCATGGATCGATCCGCATGATATCAATCACTGGATTGTCTGGTCCAGACTCGATTATTTACAGACCGCCGTCATATAGCTGGAATATTTCTGACTGGGCGTTAAACAACAAACCAACCAACCAACCAACAGAAGGTACATCAAACCCTATTTCCCTCACGATAAACCAACAATTTCCACTGCTCAAGTAACAGGGGTGATGTGCAAACATTATAACTACCTGTATTAGATTAAGTGGCTTCTTGCTGGCATAGTCCAAGGTCTTCTTCCTCGCCTGCTCATCCCGTAAGATGTCCGAGAAGCTGGATGCAGGGGGACTGTTGGCCACGGTCGTCACCCAGGGGTTGGTGGGCGTGGCCGGCATGGCTACTGGTTCGGACTGGCTTGAGGGGCGCGATCGAGGTGCATTTCGGGTCGGCAGTCCCCAGCTGCAAAGTGTGTTTTTATACAACAGTGAAAAACACAACTTGTTAATAAAATAAAATACTTGCTCCTTTAAGTTTGAACAAATTAACGAGCAGAGAACATGAACATGAACAATTGACATTTAGTGTAAAACAGAAATCAGTGATGTTAGTAAACAAGTTCAACATCAACAGTAACTCACCTCATGTGTTCTCTTGACGAAGCAGGTTTGCTTGGCGCAGATGCAGGTTTGGTAGTTGTCTTGATGGTGATTGTGTTGTTACTGTCACCCTGCGGCACCTTGTCTTCCAACAGCAGGTCTCGAAACGACTTCACCACTTTGCTCACAGACCCCCTATAACACATTCAGGAAACACACATCACTGACCCCTACAGGACAACATAACACATTCAGGAAACACACATCACTGACCCCTACGGGAAAACACAAGACATTCAGGAAACACACATCACTGACCCCTACAGGAAAACACAAGACATTCAGGAAACACACATCACTGACCCCTACGGGAAAACACAAGACATTCAGGAAACACACATCACTGACCCCGACAGGACAACACAAGACAGTCAGGAAACACACATCACTGACCCCTACAGGACAACACAAGACATTCAGGAAACACACATCACTGACCCCTACGGGAAAACACAAGACATTCAGGAAACACACATCACTGACCCCTACAGGACAACACAAGACAGTCAGGAAACACACATCACCGACCCCTACAGGACAACACAAGACATTCAGGAAACACACATCACTGACCCCTACGGGAAAACACAAGACATTCAGGAAACACACATCACTGACCCCTACGTGAAAACACAAGACATTCAGGAAACACACATCACTGACCCCTACAGGACAACTTAACACATTCAGGAAACACACATCACTGACCCCTACAGGAAAACACAAGACATTCAGGAAACACACATCACTGACCCCTACGGGAAAACACAAGACATTCAGGAAACACACATCACTGACCCCAACAGGACAACACAAGACATTCAGGAAACACACATCACCGACCCCTACAGGACAACACAAGATATTCAGGAAACACACATCACTGACCCCTACAGGACAACACAGGACATTCAGGAAATACACATCACCGACCCCTACAGGACAACACAAGATATTCAGGAAACACACATCACTGACCCCTACAGGACAACACAAAACATCCAGGAAACACACATCACCGACCCCTACAGGACAACACAAGACAGTCAGGAAACACACATCACCGACCCCTACAGGACAACACAAGACAGTCAGGAAACACACATCACCGACCCCTACATGACAACACAAGACAGTCAGGAAACACACATCACTGACCCCTACAGGACAACACAAGACATTCAGGAAACACACATCACCGACCCCTACAGGACCCAAACCAAGCAGATCCCGGATAAGGGATGATTTCGATGAAATTCCCTCATAACCACAATAACATATCGGATCTACCAAAAGAAGCCTGTGCATCACATATTTCTTTCACAAACAATATATGCCCTTTTCACAAAAAACAATCTGGCATCTTACCATGGACATGTAGATTGTTTGGCTGGTGCTGGTGATGTTGGTGATGTTACAGATGCTGCCTGTTTCTGCGCTGCAGCGTCCTGCGCAGCTTTGTTCTGCTGCTTCTTGACCTCCTTCCACGACACCTTCCCCCCAGGGGCCCTGAAGCAGAACACCATTCTCATCACACACATTCTCATTACACACATGCTTGTAGCTAGGTGCGAAACAATACATCGAGAGTTTTCATGCGACGATACAATACACAATACATTTTCTTCTGTATCGATACGCTACAAATAAAATACATTTGCTAAAAGAAATTAACTACTACTCGTAAAATGACACCCTGCATTTTTGTCAGTCAAATATCACGAAATGTGTTGTAATTAGGGTTTCAAGTTCACTGCTAATAACAGCCACTACGACCATGTATCAATATGAAGCTTTACGTTTTGAACGTGCTCTGAAATATTTCTAGGCAACAAGTATCTAATATGCGTATCACAATACATATCATATCGTCACAAATATATTGTGATACTTATTGTATCATGACCTAGCTGTGTCGTTCCACCCCTAGTTGAAGCAATATTTAAAGACATAAGAACAATACTGACATCAATACTGTCAGCCTCTGTATATGGTTTTCAATATAGAAATAATTACTTCCTTCCAGCTCATCAAAACAGATTATTACGGTCATGTGATCATGCTCCTGGTGAGCTTAAATGGGGTTTCATGTCATGTTCAAGATTATTGCACTTATGTAGAGTGAGTGAGTGAGTGAGTGAGTGAGTGAGTGAGTGAGTGAGTGAGTGAGTGAGTGAGTGAGTGAGTGAGTGAGTGCATAGTTTTATGCCGCTTTTAGCAATATTTCAGCATTATTATGTCTGGGGACACCAGTAATCAGCCTCACACATTATACCTATGTCGGGAATCAAATCCGGGTCTTTGGCATGACAAGCGAACGCTTTCACCACTTAGGTACTGGACCGCCACACACTAAAATAGAGACTTGCATGGACCACAGTGATAGCCTCCTGAGATACCATGCCACAGACTAGCATGGATACAATACTCAGACGTAGTACACTGAATCCAAGCCAATCGGTCCTTGCTTTACACCCTACAATGAAGAGCGCCAGGCAGGGAGACAATTACCACAACTTAACGTCTGTTGCTATGACGTGGTCAGGGATGGAACCACCAACCTATCGCTCTCCTGGCAGACGCTTTATCCCCCAGACAGCAGTGACCATCCTACTGCTTAACAAAGGTTGTGCATCCTGACTGGGATGATTTGAAAGATAGTAAACATTTGAACAATTGTCAAAGCAGATTGTTAACTTGAAGCAACATGTCACAGCTGCAATGATGAGTTTTTTGTTTGTTCGTTTGTTGTTTGACACTGCACATGGCAATATTCCAGCTAAATGATGGTGGTCTGAAAATAATCAAGTCTGAACCAGACAATCCAGTGATTGACATCATGAACATCGAGCTACGCAATTGGGATCGATGACATGCATCAACCAAGTCAGCAAGCCTGACCACCTGATCCCGTAAATTGCCTCTTATGACAAGCATAGTCACCTTTTACAGCAAGCACGGGTTGCTGAAGACCTATTCTACCCCGGATCTGATGAGTGCAATAGGTGGCTGTCAAAGTCGTGGAGAGGTCCAGAGACTGAGCATCCTTCTTTGTGAATACATTCTATCTCTGTTGAGGGCTTGTTGCCAGACACAGGCTGGACTCAGTGATGGTGAGGTGTGGTGAAATGGGGTTAACATCGCGTCCAAGATTATTGCACTTAAATGTCGACGTGCATGCACATGAGTGTGTGTGTGTGTAGCTGCTTCTATTCCGGACTGATGCCAATTTATAGTGCTAGCCCACTGACATACAATGCCGCAGATAATACCCACTCAGACATAGTGTACTGACTCTGAGCTGAACAGTCCTTGTTTTAGCCCCTTAATGCAAAGCGCAGACAGGGTAACAACAAGGACCATCTTTTAACGTCTTTTGGTATGATGCGGCCGCTCTCAGGGCAGACGCTCTACCACAAGATCACGGAGGCGGTGTGGACTCATGAGGCGATGACACTCACCTCTTCTCTGTACTGTGGCTGATCCTCGCTTTCTGCTGACTCATGATGTCCCGGAGACTGACCCCACCCGGGGGGCTCTGGGGTGAGGGCAGTGACTCTGGGGGTGGGGGGGAACCTGCTCCCCAGATTCCCCTTGGAGAAGAGGGGCTGCTGTACCCCCAGGGGTTTTCTTTCCCCCTCCCTGGCACTGGGATAGTAGCACTAGGAGTGGGGCAATGCTGATCTGTTGGTTTCACCTGAAGACAAAGAACATATTCTTTAAAAAAATGCTTCTACAGTGAGACCTTGATTATTCAAACACTAGTTCTACCTGTAACATTATGTAATTTTTATTGACACTTTAGTCTCACTTTAGTCTCGATACAGACATTCCACTTTTCATTACTACAACTGACTTTACCACTTCAACGAATCCCATGAATATGGGCAGCTGCTGACAAACTAAGAATCAACAGGATGAACCATAGGATTCTGGCATGCCTAAGGGAGGCAACTCTGTACAGAAAAGATCCTGATTCCTGAAACAACGGGTCCCCCATATGATCCCCAGTGGTGTTGGCTTGGCTTGGCTTGGCTTGGTGAGGTGAGGTGAGGTGAGGATTGGTGAGGTGAGGTGAGGTGAGGTGAGGTGGTGAGGTGAGGTGAGGATTGGTGAGGTGAGGATTGGTGAGGTGAGGTGAGGTGGTCTATACATAAGGCCATGGAGGTGATCTCCAGACAGATGCTCTATACACTTGGCCACAGAGGCGGACTCCGGGGAGATGCTCTATACAATAGGAGATGGAGGTGGTCTCCAGGCAGATGCTCTATACACTAGGGCATGGATGTGGTCTCCAGGCAGATGCTCTATACACTAGGGCATGGAGGTGGTCTCCGGGGAGATGCTCGATACACTAGGGCATGGAGGTGGTCTCCGGGGAGATGCCCTATACACTACGACATGGAGGTGGTCTCCAGGCAGATGCTCAATACACTAGGACATGGATGTTGTCTCCAGGCAGATGCTCTATGCACTTGGCCACAGAGGCGGACTCCGGGGAGATGCTCTATACAATAGGAGATGGAGGTGGTCTCCAGGCAGATGCTCTATACACTAGGACATGGAGGTGGTCTCCAGGCAGATGCTCTATACACTAGGACATGGAAGTGGTCTCCAGGCAGATGCTCTATACACTAGGACATGGAGGTGGTCTCCAGGCAGATGCTCTATACACTAGGGCATGGATGTGGTCTCCAGGCAGATGCTCTATACACTAGGACATGGAGGTGGTCTCTGGGGAGATGCTCTATACAATAGGACATGGAGGTGGTCTCCGGGGAGATGCTCTATACACTAGGACATGGAGGTGGTCTCCAGTCACATGCTCTATACACTAAGACATGGAGGTGGTCTCCGGGCAGATGCTCTATACACTAGGACATGGAGGTGGTCTCTGGGGAGATGCTCTATACACTAGGACATGGAGGTGGTCTCCGAGGAGATGCTCTATACACTAGGACAGCGAGGTGGTCTCTGAGGAGATGCTCTATACACTAGGACATGGAGGTGGTCTCCAGACAGATGCTCTATACACTAGGACAGGGAGGTGGTCTCCAGACAGATGCTCTATACACTAGGACAGGGAGGTGGTCTCCGGGCAGATGCTCTATACACTAGGACATGGAGGTGGTCTCCAGACAGATGCTCTATACACTAGGACATGGAGGTGGTCTCCGGGGAGATGCTCTATTCACTAGGACATGGAGGTGGTCTCCAGGCGGATGCTCTATATACTAGGCCACAGAGGCGATCTCCGAGCACCTGATCTATGCACAAGGCCACAGAGGCAGACAACTGTTCATGTCTTTACCTTTAGGTGTAATATGTTTTGATATGATTGCGGGGGGGCATGCGGACATCAAAATCTATTTTTGATTCTCAAACTGTTGGGCATGTCATTGGATGTCAGTGATGACAGAAGATGTACATGCAGTCAGTGACATAAGTTCATTTGACTTTCTGTCAGGTGCACAGAATTACATGCAACTAAAAAATCTTTACGTCTCTACTATGCTTTACTTACTGGTGTAGCTTCTGGTGTTTTCTCCTCGGGATGTTCCTGTTCTTCCTCATCCCGTTCTTCCTCCACACTTATATCTGAGCTGATGGAGACGTGTCGGTCTCCGCGAGAGGGAACTTCACCTGGTCTGCCCTTGTCTGTCTCATCACTCGTGCTCTTGGTTCGACTGCGTCTTTTCTTGGGCTTGTGTTTCTTTGACGAAACATCGTGGCTGGGCTTGTCCTCCTCATCCTGGTACTTGGCTGCCAGGGACTCCAGGTAGTCTCTCTCTGGAGCACCGCTGTACGGAGTTATCAGTCTTCTACACATACATGACAGCTGTGGAGAAGGTTGGAAATAAGTTGGAAATGTGTTGGAAATACGTTGGCAATAAGTTGGTAATATGTTGGAAATAAGTTGGAAATGTTGGAAATGAGTTGCAAATAGGTTGGAAATGACAAGGAAAAAAGTTGGAAATATGTTGGCAATAGGTTGGAAATATTGGAAATGAGCTGCTAATAGGTTGGAATGACTAGGAAAAAAGTTGGAAATAAGTTGGAAATGAATTGGAAATAAGTTGGAAATATGTTAGAAAAAAGTTGGAAACGAGTTGGAAGATATGCCACCCGAAACAACGATCATAGGTTTCTGCAGCTTTCCTTGCATCACTCAGTGATATTTCAGCTCTATATGGCAGCCAGTAAAAAGTCAAGTCTGGACACACAAACCAGTGATTCATATAATGATGAATGTCCTATGCCGTTGGTACAAGTCATCCAGCCTGATGACCCGAACTACTCGGTCACCGCCTCGTACAACACATGGGACCACAGTGACCATGGGAGATGTTTCTGGTCTCACCTTGTCTCGGTAGTACTCCTTCAGCTCCACCATCGTGTCCCCACTCAGCACATCCAGATACCTGCACAGCAGCCACAGCAGCAGCAGCAGCAGCAGGAGCAGCAGGAGCAGCAACAACAGCAGCAGCAGGTGCAGCAACAACAGCAACAGAAGGTGCAGCAGCAGTAAGAAGAAGCAAAGAATGAATACCAAGGTCTTGAGGCAATTTGACAAGACAGGTTGCTGAGTAGAGTGAAACAGATTTTGAATTTTATACTGTGAATGACACACAGAATGAAAGCTACTGGTGTAAGATTTTTCTATTTCCATTCACTACTAGACTACCAATCATTTTTACATACTAATTATCAATTCTTAAATAATAATCCTTTCCTAACTGTTTATGGATTTTTAAACGTAAAATCTGGTGTGCACACTTCTTGTAAATTAGTTACACAGTTACACAGTATACATACTGTTTTTAATGTTTATACCTCCATAAACGAAAAAAATATCGAAGTCTTTTCTTTAATTCAATATTTTATAGTTAATAGGGTTATAGTTTAACATTTTTCTTGTTTTTTTCCACAAACACATCAACCATGTCAAAATTTAATTGTAGTTATCAATGTTCTAACGATGTAGTGTGATGGTTAATAAATCATACATGACAGAGGAGAAAGAAGTGTGAACAACTAACCTTCCTTCCAGGAGAGCTGCCAAGTTAAGAGAGATAAACTGCTGACATGTCGCCCTCAGCTGCGTGGCGTTGTACATGGATGCAAACTCCAGGATCTCACCAACGTTGCGGAATGTTACTGCAACAACACACAGCCACATGGCTTCATTTGTTTTCTTTTGTTTAACGCTGCACTCAACAACATCCCAGCAATATGATGGGGGCCTGTAAATAATTAAGCCTGGACCAGACAAACCAGTGATCAATATGGTGAGCAACAACCCATGCTGTTGAGGTACGATGACACACAATAAACCCAGTCACAAAGCCTGAGCAATCGACCCATTTGTCACCTCTTACATCATAGTGCTACGATGGTTGTAAGTCTATATTAGTGAGTGAGTGAGTTTAACGCCGCTTTTAACAGTATTCCAGTTATATCGCGGCGTGTAAGTTTAATGTGGGAGGATAGCCCAAAGTGATGCAGGTCTCAGACGTTAACCATTTCGGTGAAACCCACGAGCACGGGTATGGTGCTGACAAACCTAGAAACATAATCGGGGCGAACCAGGATTCGAACCCACAATCATAGGTTTCTGGCGTGTCCAAGGGACGCAACTCTGCACAGCGAATCGCGGCGCCTTAGACGACTGGGCCACCCATGCACCCCGTAAGTCTATATTAAAGTATACAATCATTATAGTGCTACGAATGTAAAAAGTCTGTATTAAAGTATGGCAGTACCGATCATCATAGTGCTACGATTTCAAAAAGTCTATATTAAAGTATAGGAGTTACAATCATTATAGTGTTATGATTGTCATAAGTCTATGATAAAGAGTAGGCGTTACAATCATCATAACGCTATGATTGTCATAATGCAACCTCGAAAACTTTAACACGGGGTATTCCGACTATAGATACAGGCTTAATGACTGAATCCATACAATCTAGACCATCTATTAGCCATTCCAGAATGTTCTTTTGTTCATGTTTCAAATTTTTTATCAAGAATTTGTCAAAATATGTTTCGAAGCTTAGTTGCCAATTTGAAATTAGTGCCGTAAAGCACGAGAAAGCTGCCTTCTGATTGGCTAATGTCAACTTCTTGTCAGTCATTTAATTGGTCGGTCAAAGTTTGTGCAATGTCAGTCTGACGTGACCCATAATGGGATGTCCTCAGATCTTTGTTTAGCAGTAGCGAGAACTAAGATCTGATTGTAATGAGATTGGTCTAAGTTAAGGTATGAGAGTTGGATCACCTCAGCGCAAAGATCATTTTGTACAACGGCAGCCAGCAGCCTTGCCAGTAACAGTGATGCACTTCCACAGTGATGCACTTACTGAGATTGGCCAGGGACACCTCACACATTTCCTTGAGTCGCACGGCCAGGAGCTGGTCCGCCACCACCAGCACATTGCACAACAGCTCCACCTTCTGGCAGTCTGTAACAGTGATCAGTAATGGGACATCAAGACTACTTCATGAGGTGTTGCTCGGGAAATACACAGATTGTCACACTTGCTTCATGGACAGAGTGAGTGAGTGAGTGAGTGAGTGAGTGGGTGGGTGGGTGGGTGGGTGAGTGAGTGAGTGAGTGAGTGAGTGAGTGAGTGAGTGAGTGAGTGAGTGAGTGAGTGAGTGACAGTGATTTAACGCCACTTTTTCCAGTTATAACGCGGCGTGTCAGCTTAATGTGGGAGGAAAGCCTGAGATGATGCAGGTCTCAGACGTTTACCACTTCGGTGAAACCCACGAGCACGGGTATGGTGCTGACAAACCTTGAAACATAATCGGGGCGAACCAGGATTCAAATCCACAATCATAGGTTTCGGCATGCCCAAGGGACACAACTCTGCACAGAGAATCGTGGCGCCTTAGACGACTTGGCCACCCGTGCTCCCACTACTCAATCTACTGTATAGTGATACCATGACATTTACACCCGTGGCCCCCTCATGCACACAGACTGGCACATGCACAACAACAAATCTGTATACTAGCCACAGTTAATGACGCCCATAAGATGTCAACAATAAAGACTGTGACTTCATTACATTATGTCAACATGGAGAATATTTATACACATGCTTCATATCGACCTTATTTTATCTCATCATTAGGGAATCAAAAATATATTTAACCTTCATTTCGCTTGTGGAACACTGACAGTACTTAAGACAATACACACCTGTAACGACCTGAGACTCGTCACTGTACAGGTAGTCCAGGAGGATGGACAGCACATCTCCAGGCACCGGCAGTGTCAGGGAGGTCGTGTCTGATGTCTGAAAAATACACAAGCCAACATTATTTTTATTTGAAAGTCAAAACTAAAATTTAGTAAGTTGAAGCAGGTTGAACCCGCCCCTCCCCTCACCTGTACCCAACCCGCCCCCTTCCTCCCCTCACCTGTTCCCACCCCTCCCCCTTCCTCCCCTCATCTGTACCCGGCCCCTCCCCTCACCTGTACCCGACCCGACCCTCACCTGTACCCGCCCCTCCCCCTTCCTCCCCTCACCTGTACCCGACCCTCACCTCACCTGTACCCGCCCCTCCCCCTTCCTCCCCTCACCTGTACCAGACCCTCCACTCACCTGTACCCTACCCGCCCCCTTCCTCCCCTCACCTGTACCCGACCCTCTCCCTTCCTCCCTTCACCTGTACCCGACCCTCCCCCTTCCTTCCCTTCACCTGTACCCGACCCTCCCCCTTCCTTCCCTCACCTGTACCCGACCCTCCCCTCACCTGTACCCGACCCTCCCCCTTCCCCTCACCTCCATCTGGCCCCTCCCCCACCCCCATCCCCTCACCTCCATCCAGCCACAGCCCAGCATGCTGTGGAAGTACTCCAGTCTGGCCACCAGCACACACTTGTGACACTGTATCATCGTGCCGTCCTCTGCCTCGATACTCACATCACACAGCTCAGGGCTGAAACATCACACAACAATGAAACACCTTATGTATAACTGAAGCAGAATATGAACAATGTCACACTCCTTATAGATGATACTGCCAGTTCCTGTGCCCCCCACACTGAGTCAACCTTCTGCATGTTCGACCAAAGAGTCCCCCTGCATGGAGACATTACTTCTCTGTATCCTTACATCGAGGTTTCAGGGTTCCAGATAGCCATCGGCCACCGGCCACCGGTCACAGACCAATAAAATTTCAATTTGACAGATGGTTCATTTAAGCTGAAGGACTTTTGACCGATAGAAAGGCTAAGCCAGGTGTCACACATTTCATCATATCATGATAAAAAAGTAAGTACAAGGAGTGTTCATTAAAGATTTCCCCTAAACCACTTAGGGTTATCATATTTGGTTGAAATTTCACATGTGTAATGATACATGTATCTATCGGTTATGTCTGAATTTGCAGCACCGAACTATTAATCTTACCACTTTTACAGGTGTTATGATCGAGTAGGGTGTGACAATGGAGCCAGTAGAATACTGAGCAGTGATTAGGTTTTTATATTTGAAAGGTCGCACACCAAAAGAAACTTTCGATGAAATGAAAGCAACTTATGGGGAAGATGCCCCATCATATGACGTTGTTAAACACTGGCATCGCCAGTTCAAGTGCGGTCGGACATCTGTGGAAACAGCTGCCATTCCTGGTCACCCCCATTCAGCCATTGATGAGGACACTATCCATCAAGTGGAGACCGCCATTTTGGCAGACCGACATATAACTGTTCGCCAGTTAGCACAAGATGTCAAGATCAGTGTAGGGTCTGTGGAATCATCCATGACAATTTGAACATGCATAAGGTGTCTGTACGATGGATTCCTAGGTTGCTCACACCTTTCCAAAAGCAGGAACGAGTCAATTGCTCAAAGGATCTTTTGGACGTGTGCCAAAAAAAACAGGCAAACTTTTTTTGACAGACTTATCACACAGGATGAAACATGGATCCATCACTATGATCCTGAGACTAAAGTTCAGTCGATGCAATGGAAGCATGTGGAGTCACCACCCCTAAAGAAGGCACGTGTCAAACCCTCTGCAGGCAAGGTCATGCTCACGGTGTTTTGGGACCAGCACGGAGTAGTGATGATGGATTTCTTGGCAAAGGGTACCACAATTACAGGAGCTTATTATGCTTCACTGCTGCGGAAATTGCGGGACGCTATCAAGCTTAAGAGGCATGGCATGCTGACCAAGGGTGTCCGTCTCCTGCACGACAATGCTCCAGTACACAACTCTCATGTTGCCCAGACAGAAGCGCGGTCCTGTGGCTATGAAATCCTTCCACATCCTCCTTACTCACCTGACCTTGCACCATCTGACTTCCACCTCTTTCCAACCATGAAGTCATTTTTGAAGGGAAAACATTTCACAGAAGATAAAACACTGATTTCTGAAGACAATTCCTGGTTTGAGACGCAAAATGAGGGCTTTTACAAGCGAGGTCTCCATAGTTGCATAAAACGATGATAGAAGTAGTGGTTCCTGTGTGGAGAAAGACTAATACCTATGCCAAGTGGGTCAGGGGAAATCTTTAATGAACACCCCTCGTAGTAAGGATTGACAGTACCATTTTTAATCACTAATGACATGCTCTCATTAAGTTTTGTGTCATTCTGAGAATGTACGGTACAAATATTGTCCTGTTATCGATCAGAGTTTTCATCGTGATGCCTTTCATGACACAATGATATTATCCTTTGATCACAGGTTTTCGGACAGCATGTTTTCTATCGTTATTGCTCATGGCACAACAAGTTGTGTGGAGAAATTGTAAGTACTCAGATGATCGCTTGTTTTTAAGAAGTATTTTATAAGTGAGTGAGAAGGTTTACAGTTGTTCAAGAGGGGCGGTCGGGTAGCCTAGTGGTTAAAGCGTTCGCTCGTCACGCCGAAGACCCGGGTTCGATTCCCGACATGGGTACAATGTGTGAAGCCCATTTCTGGTGTCCCCCGCTGGAATATTGCTAAAAGCGGCGTAAAACCAAACTCACTCACTCACTCACAGTTGTTCAAGTGATTAGCGAGAAAACTACGAATGTTTCTTAAGCTTCCATAAACCCCTAAAACAAGGATAAATGTAGCACTATTGTCTTATGTTTGAAATGTTGTCTTGTTTTTTCAACAAAAGGTAAGTAAGTACAAGGTAAGTTTTTTTCAACATGCTTCAACATGGGATATGGGTCAGACATTGCACGCTTGTGACAGTTGTCTGGGGGATGGAGGGGTGAGGTTTATGGCAGTTTTGCTTCCAAACCAAGGGTGTGAGAAAGCTATGCCCGATTTTTTAAAAGTACTGACTTAACTTTGAAAGTTTACTGCAGTAACCCACACTGACAGATGCACAGAGGCTGCCTTAATTTGTAAACATGCTGTTTGAACAAATACATTTTCCAGCAATTTAATATTTTTTGGTTTACAGTCATGTCCATGGACTTATTACATATCCTGGGTCCAAGTCATTGACCTACACACAACCTATTGTGTCAAAATCACTGGGTCTTCAAATTCATTCACCACTGAATTGCTAACTCACAGTTTCCTGCGGTCAAACTTGACCTTTGGTGGCGAGAGGAACTTCCCGGCAGACTGCACACAGCCATTGAGGTACTTGACCGCATCTAGCCTGAAACAACAAGCTGCCTTCACAACAGGTCATTTGTTGTTTGTTTGTTTGTTTGTATTCCAGCTTTATGACAGCGGTCTGTAAATAATCAAGTCTAGACCAGACAATCCAGTGATTGACATCATGAGAATCGATCCACACAATTGGGATACAATGACATGCATCTGTCACCAGTCACCGGTTTCAATTTGACAGATTGTTCGTTTATTTCTCATAACTTCCCGGCAGACTGCACACAGCCATTGAGGTACTTGACCGCATCTAGCCTGAAACAACAAGCTGCCTTCACAACAGGTCATTTGTTGTTTGTTTGTTTGTTTGTATTCCAGCTTTATGACAGCGGTCTGTAAATAATCAAGTCTAGACCAGACAATCCAGTGATTGACATCATGAGAATCGATCCACACAATTGGGATACAGTGACATGCATCAAACAAAAGCAGTTAGCCTGACCGCCTGACCACCTGATCCCGTTAGTCGCCTCTTACGACAAGCATAGCAGCCTTTTACGGCAAACATGGGTTGCTGAAGACGTATTCTAACCCGGATCTCCATGGGTCACAGTTCATTTGTGTGTTTGTTAGTATTCTCTGACATGGAAGGTTCCAAGAAGGTATCTGTAACTCAGGATTTCATAAATATCTGAAGGAATGTTAATTCATTATTGAACTCACCTCTTGGAAAGCCCTTTGACACCCAGTTCCTTGGCAACATCTTGTAAATATCGGACAGGGTTCTTCGCAGTATTGTGAGGGTCGGCATTCTCCTTCTGGACCGATTTCTTCTTCTTTTGATGAACTTCATAGGCAGACATTTTGGACAGATTTTCAGAAATAAGTAGATCTGAGTTATCTTTCTGTAGGTCAGCATCACCTTGACCTTTTTCTTGACCTTCACCTTTGACAATAACTGGGCTGAACTTAGTTCCAACTTTAAGTAGGTCACAGGTGTCATTGTAGATGTATTGAAGGACTTGTTCCATGATCTCCGGGGGAACAGACGGAATGTGAATGACAGGCTCCTCATCAGGGAATTCTTCATCGGTTTTTGTCAGACTAGCTACTTTGTTGCGAAGAAAGTCACACTTTGAGACGAGGATGTACTTGTGACATGGCCACCTGTGATTCCCTGCCTGCAAACAGGAAGTGAGTGAGTGACTTCATGTATACTTTGTTTGTTTGTTTAATGGCACACTCAGAAACATTCCATCTAAATAATCGAGTCTGGACCAGACAATCCAGTGATTAACATCATGACCATTGATCTATGCAATTGATGCAATTGCATAAACCAAGTCAGCGAGTTTGACCACCCGATCCCTTAAGTCACTTTTTACGAAAAGCATAGTCGCCTCTTACGGCAAGCATGGGTTGCTGAAGACCTATTCTGACCTTGACCTTTAAAGGTCGACATCAAGGACAGCATCATCGTGGTGGTCACAGTACCTGCACAGTGACGTCATGTATAGCATCATATTCGTCAGCTTCCTCCCTCAGTCGCTGGAAGTCCGAAGACATCTCTGAGTCACTGATGGACGGAATGTCGGACAGACTGCAACAGACAAGATCATGGCCCTCTGACCATCAACGCTTCACAGGTTTGTGTACACTTCATCCCTCCATCACCCATCACCTATGAATAGCCTCGGATCCTATTGCACCAGCCAGCCATGCCCCACCCCACCTGTTGGCCTGTCAGCCATGCCCCACCCCACCTGTTGGCCTGTCAGCCATGCCCCACCCCCTCAGTTGACCTACCAGCCATGCCCTATCCCCTGTTGACCTACCAGCCATGCCCTATCCCCTGTTGACCTACAACCTGTGCCCTATCCCGTTGACCTACCAGCCGTGCCCTATCCCGTTGACCTACCAGCCATGCCCTATCCCCTGTTGACCTACCACCCATGCCCTATCCCGTTGACCTACCACCTGTGCCCTATCCCGTTGACCTACCAGCCGTGCCCTATCCCGTTGACCTACCAGCCATGCCCTATCCCCTGTTGACCTACCACCTGTGCCCTATCCCCTGTTGACCTACCACCCGTGCCCTAGCCCCTGTTGACCTACCAGCCGTGCCCTACCCCCTGTTGACCTACCAGCAATGCCCTATCCCGTTGACCTATCCCGTTGACCTACCACCCATGCCCTATCCCCTGTTGACCTACCAGCCGTGCACTATCCCCTGTTGACCTACCACCCATGTCCTACCCTCCCTGTTGACCTACCAACCGTGCCCTATCCCCTGTTGACCTACCAGCCGTGTGGCAGAGCTTGCAGCACCATCAGGTTGTTGTTGCGGCGGTCGGCGGAGATCTTGGTGGCTCGGTGCATGTTGGGGATCCTCTTGACCGGCACTATCTCCACCTCATCCTTCAGCATCAGGTCGATCAGAGTCGGCTTCTCAAAGTCATCAGTCATTTCTGAAAACATTTAGTTAGGAGTTGATTTCAGCAATATTCCAGCAATATTATAGCAGGTGACACCAGAAATGAGCTTGGCACACTCTAGCCCCGAGGGGACTTGGTTGCTGGCCTCTTGGATGAGGAAACTCTTTAAACATTAGGCTCCTCCAGCTCGCCATGACAGATTGAAATGAATGCAGAGTGATAGTCTGCAGCCTTCGAAATTCACGCTAGTGCACGAGCCCGAGACTACTAAATTGTGTGGAGGACAAGTAACAATCCAATGATGACCTCATTGCCTTGTAGTTGCATTTGAGGGCTTCAGGCCTGAACCAATGCTCAATGCTTCAATTTTGCTACAATTTGGAACTGAGGAAAACCGACAGAAAAACAGAAACATTGTAAAAAATTTGACTTGTTCAAGCAATCAGGCCACAACCTCTGAGAACTTTTTACGCTAGTCCTCTGGACTAGTCTAAAATTGGAATTCTAGAAAATAAGAAGTGAAGTACCAGGAGTGCAGACTTAATTATTCCACATTTTCACTTAAGTGGCAATTGTGAAGGTTGCAGAGCTTCCATGTGAGGGTATTACTGCAGCCATACATCCTCAGTGCATATAGCAATATTTGATCTTTTAACCATTGGGCTACCTCGCCATTCCAGCAAAGCACCAACACCTACAACAATGACTTACTCTTGTGTGGGACCACCTCCTTCTGTGGCAGGTGTTTCCTTTCCGGCCAGTAGCCCATGAACCCCTCCCCGGCCTCGGTGATGAAGGCTACGGTCGCGTCACTGCACACAACATCAACAACAAACAGCTGTCGCTTGATGGACCACTGACAGCGGCGAAGTGTGGGGCTGGACTCCCGCCAGATAAACACCTGTCAACAGAGTGTTACATCTACACAGTATTCCAATGACAATACCGATACAAGGTACATAGATAAGCTGTTCTTGTGTTGGAGGGGTATTTGTTATATTTGTCATGTGGTAACAAGAATTTCAAAATGATCTACCTTGAGAAAAAAGTACATTTTCCTTACAACAATCAAGGATATCATAGACAAAAACTTAAAAAAAGTAAAATAATTTTATTGTCTTCTTTCTCATTTGCTCATGAACTCATTTAGAGTATTTCACCTTTCAATAAATCCATTGTTATACATGCATGTTCTTCTTTCCTGAGGAGAAAGACACATTTTCTCTATTGCTGAGTGAGTGAGTGAGTGAGTTTTATGCTGTTTTTACCTTGACGTGGGAGGGAAGTATGAACGGATGCAGGCCCTAGGCAGTTATCTCTATTGTGAAACCACTCGATACAGTGCTGACAACCTAGAAGCATCTGGCATTCAAACCTACAATCACAGGTTTCTTGCATGCCAAATGCCAGCTACTCAGCTGCACCTGAGAAAACAGTAACAACCTAAGCCCCAATTTCTGAAATTTTGAATTGATAATTGTTTGAACAATGCTTCAGCTGATAATGACAAACTACATTAGACACTTTGTTAATACAAAGACATCTGGCTCATGGTGTTTCATTGCCAACCTGGCTGGACACAGAAAGAGGTTCATAGCCTACCTGGCTGGACACAGAAAGAGGTTCATTGTCTACCTAGCTGGACACAGCAAGAGGTTCATTGCCTACCTAGCTGGACACAGCAAGAGGTTCATTGCCTACCTAGCTGGACACAGCAAGAGGTTCATTGCCTACCTGGCTGGATACAGAAAGAGGTTCATAGCCTACCTGGCTGGACACAGAAAGAGGTTCATTGCCTACCTGGCTGGACACAGAAAGAGGTTCATTGCCTACCTGGCTTGACACAGAAAGAGGTTCATTGCCTACCTGGCTGGACACAGAAAGAGGTTCATTGCCTACCTGGCTGGACACAGAAAGAGGTTCATTGCCTACCTAGCTGGACACAGCAAGAGGTTCATTGCCTACCTGGCTGGACACAGAAAGAGGTTCATTGCCAACCTGGCTGGACACAGAAAGAGGTTTATTGCCTACCTGGCTGGACACAGAAAGAGGTTCATTGCCTACCTGGCTGGACACAGAAAGAGGTTCATTGCCTACCTGGCTGGTCACAGAAAGAGGTTCATTGCCTACCTGGCTGGACACAGAAAAAGGTTCATTGCCTACCTGGCTCGACACAGAAAGAGGTTCATTGTCTACCTGGCTGGACACAGCAAGAGGTTCATTGCCTACCTGGCTGGACACAGAAAGAGGTTCATTGCCTACCTAGCTGGACACAGAAAGAGGTTCATTGCCTACCGAGCTGGACACAGAAAGAGGTTCATTGCCTACCTGGCTGGACACAGAAAGAGGTTCATTGCCTACCTGGCTGGACACAGAAAGAGGTTCATTGAATACCTGGCTGGACACAGAAAGAGGTTCATTGCATACCTGGCTGGACACAGAAAGAGGTTCATTGCCTACCTGGCTGGACACAGAAAGAGGTTCATTGCCTACCTGGCTGGACACAGAAAGAGGTTCATAGCATACCTGGCTGGACACAGAAAGCAGTGCAATGCTGAGGTCTGAGCCGCCTTTCTCCCTGAGCCGGTCGGCCTCAGCGTGGTAGTCCAGCTTCCCTCCACAGACCAGCACCTTGCCCACCTCCAGCCACCTGTACAGTCACAACATGGCTTGTTTCATTCAGCAATATCTCACAATAATCACTACGGCCTGCATATAAACAGACACAATGTTTATGTATAAGAACTTACAATATAAGATAGCTATGTGATAAATCACAAAGAACAATGGCTGAAGTGTGGTTTATTTCACAATAAAACACTGTTCTATCTTGACGTCATTTCTGGAGTTTCAAACATGCGCTCGCAACTTGATGATTTTGTATATTGGACAACGTTATGTTCGCGAGGGGAGTGTCTAGTGAGTTGTTGCTCAAAGATGTTGATGGACAACTCAGATCACATCCAAAAAGGGGAGAGATATGCCAATCGTCATTGGGAGAAAAGGTATAGGTAATCGTCATGTGGATAATGAGAATATGCGGGAAATACCCACCTGTGCATAAAATGGACTTGTCCGACATCACCCAGGTCAGATTCTTGTGAGTGAGCCATCATTATTAAAATACGGGTAAGTATTTTTAAAACTTGTAAATTTTATCATCATCCTTATACAGGCTGTACATAATGTTGATATCGCACATAAGAAATAAACGACCTGCCATTACAGTAAAATAAAGAAGTCCTTGTCAAGCCTGTCAAACAATTTAGGCCTGCAAATAATCAAGTTGTGATCACACAGTCCACTATTCTACCTGGATCTCCACAGGTCCCTGAGACCACTTGGGCACCTGTACCCCCTCAACATAAGTGACAGAAGTCGGTACAACATCAAATAAATACAGTGTCACTCATAAAGTGCTACAAACTCCAATATATGTTTATAAGCACCGTGTGTGTAATTCATAGAAAACAGTATTTCTTACTTTGACATTATCCTCCGACACTGATATTCATGAAGAACAAAGATGTCCCCTTTCTTGGTGAGACAGACTGTAGCAGCATCGGAGCAGGTGACAGACTTGAGGGCGATGTCCTTCTGACTGAGAGCGGAGACCAAGCGGGGCTGACTCTGGAGCTTCTCTCCCTTCTGGTGACCTGCCAAAACAACACAACCACTGCAGAACCAACACAACCAATGCAGAAAGAACACTACCACTGCAGAAAAAACACAACTACTGCAGAAACAACGCTACAACTGCAGAAACAAATCTAACACTGTAAAAACAACCCTAACACTGCAGAAACAACACTACCACTGCAGAAACAATACAACCAATGCAGAAACAACACTAACACTGCAGAACCAACACTAACACTGCAGAACCAACACTAACACTGCATAAACAACACTACCACTGCAGAAACAAATCTAACACTGTAAAAACAACACTAACACTGCTGAAACAAATCTAACACTGCAGAAACATCACTACCACTGCAGAAACAAATCTAACACTGTAAAAACAACACTTACACTGCTGAAACAAATCTAACACTGCAGAAACAAATCTAACACTGCAGAAACAACACTACCACTGCAGAAACAACTCTACCACTGCAGAAACAACACTACCACTGCAGAACCAACACTATCACTGCAGAAACAACCCTAACACTGCAGAACCAACACTAACACTGCAGAACCAACACTAACACTGCAGAAACAACACTAACACTGTAAAAACAAAACTAACACTGCAGAAACAAATCGAACACTGCAGAAACAACACTACCACTGCAGAATCAATTCTACCACTGCAGGAACAACACTGCCAATGCCAAAACAATGCTACCACTACAGAAACAAGGCTAACACACTGCAGAAAAAGGCTAACGCTGCAGAAATAACACTAACACTGGAAAAACAATGCTAACACTGCAGAAACAAATCTCTACCACTGCAGAAACAACACTACCACTGCAGAAACAACACTACCACTGCAGAAACAAATAGAACACTGCAGAAACAAATTTAATACTGCAGAAACAAACCTGACACTGCAAAAACAAATCTATTCCTGGAGAAACAACACTAACACAGCAGAAACAACACAAACACTACAGAAACAACACGAACACTACAGAAACAATGCTAACGCTGCAGAAACAACACCAACACTACAGAAACAATGCTAACATTGCCATGGTTCAAGGAGCAATACTCAATAATTATTTGATATGCACCCATGTATAGGTTACTAGTTTGTATGTACGTGATCTAGTGTATTGCCTTACAGACTGACCTAGCTGGCCAGCATTGAGCCCAAACGTGAAGACGGCATCGGCAGTGTACACAACAGTGTGGAAGCTGCCCACACACACTCCCAGGACATTCCTCCCCTTCCACAGCTTGGCATAGATCTGAAAACATCACCAAGGATTCCATAAAGCTGAGGCAAATCTGGATAAACACCTACAGTACTATCACAATGAGTGAGTGAGTGAGTTGGGTTTAACGCCGCTTTCAACAATATTCCAGTTATATAGCGGCGTGTCAGCTTAATGTGGGAGGAAAGCCCGACATGATGCAGGTCTCAGACGTTTACCACTTCGGTGAAACCCACGAGCACGAGTATGGTGCTGACAAACCTAGAAACATAATCCCGGCGAACCGGGATTCGAACCCACAATCATAGGTTTCTGGCGTGCCCAAGCGACGCCACTCTGCACAGTGAATCGCGGCGCCTTAGACGACTGGGCCACCCGTGCCCCCCTGTCACAATGAAAACTTTAATGTGGTCTGTGACATACGACTCCAATATGAATTTTTTATGATAAAAATGTCATTTATACTTATCCTGACTCATACTTATTTGCTTATTTTTTTCCTATTCTCGAAAGGTAGTGGAAACATCTTGTGCTGTGTTCCCAGTGAACAGAAAATATCTCACCTAAACGCACCCCTCTGAGTCAGGATAAGGCAAAATGTTTTAAATAATTGGTCTTGATGTGATGGTTTTCAACAGGAGATCCTATTTCTTTGAACTATCACTCGAACAATGTAATGAGGACAATGTGGTACCTATACAGAAGTATTTGAAAATAATTTTAGAAATGTAGCAAGGAAGCAAAAAACAACAACATCTTTCTCATGTCTTCCTTGAGAAAGCTTGTTCAACCCTGCAGCAGTTGTTTGTTTGGTGATTGATATTGTCAGCAACGATCCACGTCATGAGGTAACAAGATGTTATCAACAAAGTTACAAAGTCTGACCCCCCGATCCATTTGGTCGCCTCTGACGCCCAGCATAGGTTGCTGTGGACCTATTCTAACCCGGATTCCCGACAGGAGCCCTGTGGCAGTGATGACACATGGGGTAGTAACCCCACCAGGGGGAAGAGAGGTGCTTACAATCAGAGTTAAACGTAGACTTACAAAACTGGGGGTCGGGGGAACCCAATAATTACTCTTAAGGGCCCTTGCAGGTGGGGTGAGGTGAAATGGGTTTAACGTCGCGTCCAAGATTATTGCACTTATATAGCGACGTGCATGCACGTGGGTGGGTGTGGCTGCTTGTACTAGTCCGGACTGATGCCGATTTATAGTGCTAGCTCACTGAGATACCATGCCGCAGATTAACATGAATATCCCACTCAGACACAGTACACTGACTCCGAGCCGACCAGTCCTTGTTTTAGCCCATTAATGCCGAGCGCCAGACAGGGTAACAACAAGTACCATCTTTTAACGTCTTTAGGTATGACGCGGTTGGGGATGGAACCCCAGACCTTCCGCTCTCCGGGCGGACGCACTACCACTAGACCACGGAGGTGGTCTACAAAACTGGGATTCGGGGGGAACCTAATAATTACTTTTAAGGGCCCTTGCAGGCAGTATGAGGGTCCTGTATAGTAATGAAATGGTGTTGTGTACTGTCTTGATAATTACTTGGAGCCTGGAATGAATCAGTGATCGTGTGGACAGTGGTCATGATTGATCGATGAAGTAACCCCTAAAATTCAAAACAATAAACTTTTTGAAAAAAGTTCAAACTTTTAATGTATCCAATCAATTACACTATTTTCTATTATTAACAGTTTCTATCCACTTAGTATGGATAAGTTCACTTTTATATGTGAACATTGTTACTATGTTGTTTTATAACACCGTTTCTATTCTAAATTCCTGTATTGGGACAAAATGATCAGCACATGTTGCCACCTGACAACCTTTGCACAACTATATCTAAAAACCAGTCTCGTAACATGTTAAGTTCATGTTGTGCATGAAACACAACATTTTCATGTCCATTTAATGCTCGTTTGGGTGAGTTTTGGCGCACTGTTTTACTGTTGCGTTTTGGCACGCAGTCCTTCTGTCCAGTAACAGACACACATCACTGCTCTTGATGGGCTGTTAGTACAATGAATATTATCGTGCATCCTTGTGGATGCAGTATATTTTTTTTCTGTGTCCATTCTCTACAATTCAGGTGTAACTCACCTGTCTGGGTTTGACAGATTTATCGGGTGGGGGGAACAGACCCAGTTGGTGGAAGGCATTTAGTCCACAAGTGAAGATTGCTCCACTGAAATATTAAGGGAAAAAAATGGTCCATTCAGTATGGAAATGCATTAACAATACATAACAAGTCCTCTACTTATGCTGATAGGGTCACACTCCATCGGCTTACCATCGAAATAGGGCCTGGGAACAAAACGGTACGACATCAACCCGTTTTACAGCATTAGGGGAGATAACGATCTGCATAGGCTGATGTTCACAGCCGTTAACTGGAAGGTCAACTGATTGATCTACATGTGAGGAAAGACCTCATGGATTAAACTAATTGCAGTACTTATTGTCCTGCTGACTGTTGTGCTGATTTGTATGCAGACTGTAATACTGATTTGTATGTTGACTGTAATACTGATTGCCATACTGAAGGTCCTACTGATTGTCATACTGAAGTTCCTACTGATTGTCATACCGATTGTCATACTGAAGGTCCTACTGATTGTCATACTGAAGGTCCTACTGATTGTCATACCGATTGTCATACTGAAGGTCCTACTGATTGTCATACTGAAGGTCCTACTGATTGTCATACCGATTGTCATACTGAAGGTCCTACTGATTGTCATACCGATTGTCATACTGAAGGTCCTACTGATTGTCATACTGAAGGTCCTACTGATTGTCATACTGATTGTCATACTGAAGGTCCTACTGATTGTCATACTGAAGGTCCTACTGATTGTCATACCGATTGTCATACTGAAGGTCCTACTGATTGTCATACTGAAGGTCCTACTGATTGTCATACTGATTGTCATACTGAAGGTCCTACTGATTGTCATACTGAAGGTCCTACTGATGGTCATACCGATTGTCATATTGTCATACTGATTCTCATACCGATTGTCATACTGAAGGTCCTACTGATTGTCATACCGATTGTCATACTGAAGGTCCTACTGATTGTCATACCGATTGTCATACTGAAGGTCCTCCTGATGGTGATACTGATGGTCATACTGATTGTCATATTGTCATACTGATTGTCATACTGATTGTCATACTGATTGTCATAACAATTGTTAAACCGATTGTCATACTGATGATCATACTGATTGTCATATTGTCATACCGATATTCATACTGAAGGTCCTCCTGATGGTGATACTGATGGTCATTCCAATTGTCATATTGTCATACTGATTGTCATACTGATGGTCTTATTGATGGTCATACTGATTGTCATACCGATTGACATACCAATTGTCATACTGATTGTCATACTGATGCCAAAGAAGCAGCCATATTGTTGAATCAATATCATGGATACATTAACAACACAGAGTATCACAAGATTTCCAAAAATGGGGTACACTAAGATTTGTCCAGTCACAAAACAATACGGCAATGAAAATCTGGGTACAACTCAATTTATCATTTTGTATCCAGGGTACATTTTGATGGTAAACCAATCGAGAGTGACCAATCATCAATAATAGGTCAACATTTTGATGTGTTTCACATAGTATTAACTGGAAAGAGGACAAATGGTCCATTGTGGTTGGTTGGTTGGTTGTTTTACGCCACTCAGCAATATTCCAGCTATATGACGGCGGTCTGTATATAATCGAGTCTGGACCAGACAATCCAGTGATTAATATCATGAGCATTGATCCACGCAATTGGGATTGATGACATGCATGAACCAAGTCAACGAGCCTGACCACCCGATCCCGTTATTCGCCTCTTACAACAAGCATAGTCGCCTTTTACGGCAAGCATGGGTTGCTGAAGACCTATTCTACCCCGGATCTTCACGGGGGAGACAAGCATGGGTTGCTGAAGACCTATTCTACCCCAGATCTTCACGGGCTGGTCCATTGTGAAGCAGTCAGCAAACTTCAATGACATGTGAGCCATACTAGTCAATAGGCGTTCCAGTGGATAACAAGTCTATGTCGGCAGCACATCAACTGCGACATCTCACCTCTCCATCAGCATGACCGTGTGGTCCCTGGCGGCGACGATCTGCAAACACGTCTCATGCCTCACGGTCTTCACCAACATCGGCACCTGAGAAACAAAGGATTAATTATTTGTTGTTTAACGCCATAATGTCGGCCTGTAAATAATCGAGACTGGACCAGATAATACAGAGTTTGAAACTATTAACAACAATGCATGCCATCGGGATACGTCGACACGCCATCAACCGCGTTGCCGAGTCTGACCATTCGTTGCATTAAGTCACCTCCTATGACCAGCATAGGTTACTAGGAGCCACTGCTCACCCAGTATCCCATGGGTCCCGAGTTCGATCATCTCTTACAACTAGAAATGGGTTGGCTGAGGGCACATTTTTTTAGGGTCAACATGGGGCAAGTAGCAAAGGTGGGACACAACCAACAAGCATGAAATACTCATATCCCCCGCCAATATGACATGTCTGGTTGTGTGCAAGGCAAGAAATATTGTACAGTTTTCAAGATCTGCTCCGGAAACGAGCACTACCTCCATTTTCTGTCTAAGTCAAAGTTGTTGCTGTGGAAACTCGAAATATTTTTTTCAAAATTCACAAACTATCAAAAGGCAGCAGTTCACCACAAGACCTACCTATGTGCCAAGTTTAGTTAAGATATCTCTCGTGGTTTTTGAGTTCTGCTCCAGAAACGGCACCCATTCCTAATAATGTACAACATGTTGAACCTAATAATCAGCAAGCGAAACAAGCTGTCAAATACTGAATATGGTGAAGAGAAACAAACCTTCTTTCTTCTCTCAGTAAAACTTACATGAGAATTAGGTCTCTGGGATTAAATGTGTTGAAATACAAAGAAAAAACGGAATCAAGTAAGACTGATAGAGAGAAGCCTCCTACCACGCATGGCAGTTCGTTCTCGTGTCCGAGCCGGCCTCCATGGCCGTGGCCGCAGGTGTACACTTGCCCTGCCTGGGACAGGAACACGGTGTGATACTTGCACAGAACCATCTGGAACACAAAACACGGACAGTGAGTGAGTGAGTGCCCACAGTCACTCAGCTATACTACTCAAAAGAAGTTCAAGAACACCCACTCTTGCATATTGGACACCTGATTCTTTCATATGACTACAGTTAATATGTCATACCATTTGAAAGAATTGGGTGTTCTTCAACTTCGTTTGAGTAGTATATATCACGGCTGTGTGCAGAGTGTAAACATCCATACCTAGGGATGCAAAGCTTCACCGAACATTCAGTGCCTCGCAATCTACGTCACGCGTACCACATGGAGGTCCTGTATCAGTACCAGATCATACATGTACACTATGATGGGGGCAGTGATAACTGTAGGAACATAACTGCAAATGCTATTTTCTGCCGGGTTGCACACTTTTCCATAAATGACCTCAAGACTCTTCTCGTTCCTGTCTACTCATTTCCTGTGATGATAGAATCGGTCTCCAAGATATGTAACCTATCGCAACAGAGTAAACTGTTTCAGTCCTATATAACACAGTTTAACCAGTGCCTTAAAGAGTGAGATTTTACCCATGTCTTCAGGTTCAATAGCACACTAACCAAGCCAGGTTATAAAAGTGAAGATTCCAGAAGGCTATACCCTTCAGCTGTGCCTTTTCCACTCCTTAACACAGACTGACAATTGTCACAGTCGGAAGAATGTGCAAAATGCCTTGTTACCTTACCTCCTCTAAAAAGGGTTCAACATAGTTAATAACTTCAATTTTTTTCAATAATTTTAGTAAAATCTAAAATATTTTACATTTGGATACTTATCCTGCATTGCTGTGATAATACATTTTTAGACGTAGTAATGCAGGATAAGTTAAAAAAATTAATAAAATGTAAAGATTTTTAACCTTTGGATACTTATCCGGCATTACTACGTCTAAAAATGCATGAAGGTAGTAACGTAGGATAAGTTAAAAAGTCTGTTATATTGGGATTCATTTTCCACTACCTAGTCACAGGCATAATTGGCATAATTTAATGATAGCAGATCTTACATCCTTTAGTGATATTCCAGTTCGCTTGAACTCGTCAATGACTTCGGGCGAGGCTCTGGACTGACCACTGGCATGCCCCAGGTTAAAGTTTGGGTTGTCCCCCCATGCATACACCTCATTCGGCTCTGAAACACGAATAATCTCACATGCAGATAATTCTGTACACTGCACGATAAAATATTTTCTTGATTTGCGGACGATCATCTAATCTGTTTACATACCAAATTGTGTTCTGATCTCTGCCCTGAAATGTCCATGGGTGACAAGTGACAAGCACCATCTATCTTCCCGAGGCAAGGGAGATAACTGACTATAAAAGTCCAGTTTCCACCTTTGCTGAACTGGGCTGGATTTCCAGGATCAATCATAGTTCCACCAGAGGCTATTATGAGTTATGTCCCTTCTATGTCCCTCCAATTGACCAATCAATTTCCATCTTTTATATCACTTCCATTTGCTTTTAACAAAATGGCAGCGCCCTGTCAAGATGATCTGATCGATAATCAAAATCAATATTGTAATAAAACTGGGTCTACCCCCGAAGTGCATCAAATCACTTGAGAACCTTGATCTCAAAAACATTACAAGATTTGAAAAATATCTGTCAACACCCAGTTGATGGTACACATGCTTTGCAAATCCTGAAGTCAGCGGAAATCTGCACATTGAAATTCATGTTTTTTCCGAATCAGATGTCTAGTTCCTTACAAGATATTATTGGACTATGCATAGACTCGTTAGTCGAGCCAAAATGTAAACCCGGAATTCCAGCCTATTTTGACAAGGGTGGAAACTGGACTTCCACAGTCAGTTAACCTCCTTGCTCCAGGAAGATGTGTCTGCTGCCAGTACTACTTGTTGGTACAAACTTTATTTTCTGATTGAAAATCAAAATGCAATATCTCATGCTTTTTTCCAGTACAGGTACGCTATGGTCGTTTGAAGACAACTCTACCTTTCAAATTGAATGTGATTTCCCTGGGCTTGTCCTTCATGACAATATCAAGGGCAGACAACCCCTCGTGGTCACGAGTGTACAGATCAGTGCCATGCTGAAACACAAGCAGTTTGTTTTTCATGAAAATAAATATATTATTGTCACAAGACAGTGTCCAGCAATGTACTTAACACATCACTGGGAAAACAACTGATCTCTCAGAACTTGTCTCAACAGGAATAACATACTTAGAGAGACAATCAAAATAATACAGTGGCATCTGTCTAAACCAGACTCTGGCTTATTTGGATATCTGTCAATACAGACCAAATTTACAGTCCTAAGTTCTCTACAATCATTTAGCATTACGTAAAATCTGTCCAATAATGTCTTTCTTTACTCTGGATTCCTAGCTAAAATTGTGGGACAAAGGACCACATTATCATGTAGCTGGAACTCTCTACTCCTGTTTAATTTTCACACACAGAGCTCCAGATAACTTTTGGAGCAATTGAGTTTTGTCTCAAAGGTTTCTATTTTAATTGGGTTTTTACATTTTTCATTGGGTAACCAATATTTTTTCACTCATCTATTCATCACTCAATTGGGCTTTTCCCAAAATGAGTAAGCATTTTGAGATTTAAAAAAAGTTAAAAAAATGAAATAATGTTTTAGATGGATATAATGGTTCTAAATATAGGCTTGACTCGGAAAGTAAATTAGCTCGTAATTATGTTTCGGAAATTAGCTTTGTTGTACGCATGCTGAAAAAAACTTCATTGGGTAATTACGTGTGCTGTTTTCAAATAAATGCGTTTTCCATTTAATGCATGCGTTTCTGTACGCAAGGTAATTGAAAGTAATTGGGTTTTGAATAGTTTTTTGGGGGGTATTTTACGCAAATACGCAGCTTGTCTGTAGCTCTGAACACATCTTGCTCACACGTCTGGTAAGTTTTACTCATCAATAAATATGTTGAAATCCATGTACACAAGTCTTTGAGTTACTGTTACACGTGAGATACCAAGGGACGTAACTCTTTACTGGACTCAGATTTCTGTTTAATCCAGACTGCTGTCTAATCCTGGCTCACACAAGTCTGGTTTGGACAGATTCCTGTTTTTGGAAGATGCCACCAGATGAAGTTGAATAACATTAGGTACAACCTATTTCAAACTTGGCAGTGTATGCAAAGTTTATGCCGAATAGTGAAACGGATTTGATATGTCATCACTGCAGTTCCTCACTGTTGACTTAACCATATATGCCCAAACTTAAAATAATATTTTGTCCGAGCTCTTTTCCACCTTAGAGTTAGCACAATTTTATGCACTGTTAGCAATAGTGGAGCCATATGAGCGGATGACACCAGGGAGCGGCTTCACAAATAGTTCCAATACAGGGAACTCTAACATGCTTCGCTGAAAGATCAAATGTGCAGAGAGTACTTTAACCTGCAATATACCACAATGGCGAACGTCACAACACTGTTCAAATTTCCTCCCTGTGATCTATTACAGTATTAGTGTTTCCAGGGTCCCACTCTACGACTATCGTAAGTCTGTCATAGTATGGGAGCTATGATCATCTCAGCGCTACAACTATCCTAAGTCTATGTTAAAGTATGGGAGTTACGATCACCCTAGCACAGCAAGTGTTGTAAGTCTATGTTAAAGTATGGGAGTTACGATCACCCTAGCACAGCAAGTGTTGTAAGTCTATGTTAAAGTAGGGGAGTTACGATCACCCTAGCACAGCAAGTGTTGTAAGTCTATGTTAAAGTAGGGGAGTTACGATCACCCTAGCACAGCAAGTGTTGTAAGTCTATGTTAAAGTAGGGGAGTTACGATCACCCTAGCACAGCAAGTGTTGTAAGTCTATGTTAAAGTAGGGGAGTTACGATCACCCTAGCACAGCAAGTGTTGTAAGTCTATGTTAAAGTAGGGGAGTTACGATCACCCTAGCACAGCAAGTGTTGTAAGTCTATGTTAAAGTAGGGGAGTTACGATCACCCTAGCACAGCAAGTGTTGTAAGTCTATGTTAAAGTAGGGGAGCTTTGATCATCTCAGCGCTACAACTGTCATAAGTCTTTGTTAAAGTATGGGAGTTACGATCATCTTAGCCCAGCAAGTGTTGTAAGCCTATGAATAAAGTATGGGAGTTACGATCATCTTAGCCCAGCAAGTGTTGTAAGCCTATGAATAAAGTATGGGAGTTACGATCACCCTAACACAGCAAGTGCTGTAAGTCTATGTTAAAGTATGGGAGTTACGATCATCTTAGCCCAGCAAGTGTTGTAAGCCTATGTTAAAGTATGGGAGTTACGATCATCTTAGCGATGAGATTGTTTTGTGGAACGGGGCCCTGAAAAGGTTCTGTAGTCTGTAGTCAACTTTATTGGATGCTCCCTACAGGCATCATTGCCATAACATTCCCTGCCTCCATACCTGTATGAGTTGTCTGGCTACAGGTAACTGGCCATAGAACAGTGCCCGATGTAACGCCGTCCAGCCCGACTCCGAGTCCTTGTCGGTCATGTCTCCATGTTTGTCAGTCAACAGCCATTCTACAATGTCCGCCTTTCCGCATGCAGCCGCCATGTGCAGAGCTGACCTTCCCACAGTGTCCTTGACCTTGGTCACATTGTGACAGAGACGTGAATATGCCTTCACTTCTTTGAGGGTTCCTTTTGAGATCGATGAATGAAACTCCAGAGCGTGTCTTTTGGACCGACATTTTGGTCGACACTCAGGCTCAAACAACCAAGACATTGCGTAATAATTTTTCGAGGACACAAAATTCGACAAATGTTACACTCGTTAATTTACTGTCAAAACTGAGCCTTAACTAAATCACAAGTTATTTTTTGATGAAATGCTGGAAGCAAAGTGTCCTTTTACAGTAACAAACAAATCTTCTCCTGACGATGGTCACGCTCTCCAGATCGATAAACCTCTGTCACAGCCGGCTTCTTGCGTCCCTGGCACCCCACTTCGCCACGCCCTCCTGGCCACGCCCTCACAGGGCAGACATCTCCAGATGTTCAACAAGCCATAATTGTAAAAGTACCACTGAAAGAAAGAAAAAGGTACAATGTTTGTTTGTTTAATGACGCACTCAACAACATTCCAGCTATATGACAGTGGTCTGTAAGTAATCGAGTCTAGACCAGACAACCCAGTGATTTACATCATGAGTATCGGTCCACGCAAATGAGATACAGTGACATGCGTCAACCAAGTCAGCGAACCTGACAACCCGATCCCGTTAGTCGCCTCTTACGACAAGTATGGGTTGCTGAAGACCTATCCTAACCCAGATCTTCATAGGGCTAAAAGACAGATTTGAAAGATGTCTATTGCAAAACATCAACTTAAAGTATCTTCAGACAACCTCCATATTAAAAATAAATAACATGACAGTTCCTGACTGATACTATCATTTCTCTGGTGGACCAACCTATTTGGCAAGCCTTGTAAAAAGACATATAACAGTTTTAACATTGTATACCAGGGTTAGAAACTAATTTTTATTTTCACTAGGCTGCAAAACTGACCATGCTGACCTGCATACACCCAAATTATGCTAATAGAAGTAGTGGCAGTCCACAAGGAAATGTCCTTCCTAATGTGGGAGGAAAGCCCGAAGTGATGCAGGTCTCAGACGTTTACCACTTCGGTGAAACCCACGAGCACGGGTATGGTGCTGACAAACCTAGAAACATAATCGGGGCGAACCGGGATTCGAACCCACAATCATAGGTTTCTGGCATGCCCAAGGGACGCAACTCTGCACAGAGAATCGCAACTGGGCCACCCGTGCCCCCTACAAGACTCAGACTAGCAGACATGTTAATTTCAATCCCTAATTTATCATGCATACATCATATAGACTTTAATAATTTACAGCTCTAAGAATTAACTTCTAAATGTGAACTTCAAGGATAAGTTCAACAATTACTTAATTTGGGACCCGTGAAGATCCAGGTGGAATAGGTCTTCAGCAACCCATGCTTGCCGTGAAAGCCGACTATTCTTGTCGTAAGAGGCGACTAACGGGATCGGGGGATCAGGATCGCTGACTTGGTTGATGTATGTCATCGTATCCCAATAACGTGGACCGATGCTCATGATGTCAATCACTGGATTGTCTGGCCCAGACTCGATTACTTACAGACCACCGTCATATAGCTAGAATATTGCTGGGTGCAGCTTTTAACAACAAACAAACAAAACAAAACTTAATATGGCTGCAACAGAATAAGTTTACCCTTTCATTTGCTCTCAAAGGATGGAAACTATGCTCTGTTATCAGTGTTGCATTATTACCACACTTCTTGTGCAATCTCACTGGTTTCTGTGGAAGTGAAAATGACAGCAATGGATTCTACATTTGTTGTACTGCATCTACATGCTTAATGCTTAATCACATGCTGAGATAATTAGGCGTGTTCAGGCAACAAGCCAGTAAGTATTAAAAAAGCAACATAACTGCATAAGTTCAGGCATTTAACTAGACCTGCCTAGAGGTCGATATTCGACCCAAATCTGCACCAAATGTCAGTAAAGATTCCCTAAGTCGGAATTAAACATTTCCCAGTTCATAATGTTATAGAAAATATCATGGCTTTGTAAGGTGACTTGTACTTCACTGAAACCAGGCCCATTAATGCTTGGTTTATCATTATTGCATTGAATGCAATGTTAATCAGGTTAATATTCAATTCATCTGATTTTAGGAAAATAAGAATTTTTTCAACAAAAAATAACAATTTTGAAAAAAATAATGTTTTTCTAATTTGCCAGCCCACTTTGTTAGGAATCCTAGATAAGTTATTAATTTGTCTTACAATTTCAAAGGAATTCCTCCTTGCATAGCAGAGCTCCAGATAAGCTGCGTATCTGCGTAAAATAGGCATCAGATATGCAGAAATATGCAGTAATATAAAATCCAAGCATATCAAATACGCAACGAACATTACAGATACGCTACAAAAATAAAACTTGTGTGTATCATCAAAATATTGTGAAGTAACCCTGCGTATTTGATTAGCAAATCAGCAACTTATTTTGAAATTATAAACGGGCATTCCGTCAACCTTGCCAAACTCCACGATAACAGTTACATCATGATCATTTGCCATCACACTTTCTTGTGGAAGTATTGTGGTATTTTTTAGTCCTATAAACCTCTCGAACCCCCACATGACACCAGTTTGCAGGGACTAGATGAATAGTGTTTTTAAATATTTAACCTAAGTACCCACATGTGTAAAAACTAGTGGGTAACAGAAATTTGAATACCCAGATAGAATTACTGATACCCAATGATTTTAAAATGCATGGGTAAAATACCCACAACACCAATAGTTTATCTGGAGCTCTGCATAGGTTTTCCTTTCAAAATGTAAGATGGGCAAATGTGTGACTACCAAGCCCTACATGCCTAAACATAATAAAATACTCCTCCTTTCTGTTGTACATATACATATACATAATGGTCAAAATGATTTATGTACAGACCAACCACTATTGTGGTTTATTCATCCTCCTCACATATCAACTGCCAAACTAAGATACTTTCGTTAAAATTATTGTATCTGAAGCATTTGTTTAAAATGTATTTATTTATTTCTCAACCATTTCTCAAACGATATAAAATATATATTATCCAAAACTTGCTCCCAAAGGTTCTATGGCTTGGGTGAGATCAAGCAATATGTCCAAGACATACTGCAAAGAAATTGCATCACAATGCTTTGTGGACCATTGTGACATCATCGGTTACCATGACATCACAATCAAATGACATCTCTAATCTCGCTGCCACTGTAGCTGATTAGCGATACTGTTTACACACATAACAATGCTTATTACTGATCACAAACTGAAAAAGTTGGAAGAATAAATTTGGATGACACCTAGAATCTTAACCTTGTGTCATTTGACATCAATTGCATCCACACTTGTCAATATATTTCATATCAAAAGTCACCTGAGATTATCTAATGTGTGCATCTGATGACTTAATACTCATAGCTGCCACATTTACCGTATTTGACGTAATAAGCGCCCAGGGTGCTCTCAAAATTAGGAATAGGGGGCGCTTATTAGAATATTATCTTGAGTTGAAAGATCGTAAATTTCGTGGTTTATGCTAACAGCCTGAAATTTATACATACGACAGATATATTTTTCAAGAATTTAATTGCCCATAATTAAGGGTGATATAACACAAGAGTGCGTATTATTCACGAATAAATAAGTCTTGTGTACATTGATCAATCGGAAGGGGTGCTGATTGGGATTGTTCACTCGCCAATATATTAGCAAATATCGCCGTGGGCGCTTATTAGAGCGGGGCGCTGATTACGTCGAATACGGTAATGATAATACCATATAAAATTCACGATTGTCCACTTGCCAAAGACAACTAAATAGTTCTGAAGACCAGTAAAAATCCAATGATGGTAGTCTACATTGACTTTTAGAATGTGTCAGTTGGGTTTAAACTTAAAGCCACTTTTAACTGTATTCCGAAGTTATGCAAGGCTTATGCCTTGACCACTTTGGTGAAACCTGAGCGCAGGTATGGTGCTGACAAACCTAGAAACATAATCGGGGCGAACCTGGGGCGCGGTGCAAGCCACGAATCGCTTTGAGTAAGCAAATTAAATAGTTAGTCTCCCTGGGGTATGCAACAGCTCAAAGTGCTTGCGCACTCTTCCACAATGGCCACTAGCCGATGCATATGACTACTTTGTAGATGTGGAGCAGACTGAGGATGATGCGATGTTAGCTGCCTTTGCCAATTTCCCAGTTGATCCAGTCAAGAATTTCTTGTTCCGCTGTCAAACTCAGCCGCCATTTTGGTTCGAGAACGAAGCGACCTCAGTCAGCGATTGTTGCGCTTGCAAGAGGCTGAAAGTTAGCAAATCGTTGTGATGCGAATTGCTATACATCGCTTGCAAGTGACTGTCGCTTTGTAACGCATCCCGGGATTCAAACCTCAATCATAGGTTTCTGGTGTGCCCAAGGGATGCAACTCTCCACGTCACCTTTTACGACTGGCCACCCTTGCGTCCTCATTGACTAGTAGCATTAGGGGTAAGATATTCTGAACAAGTTTTCAATGCTAGTCACATAATTCAGAACTGACATAACCTAACTAAACTGCCCCAACTTGCTGAACTAGCAAATCTTGTGGCAAATGTCAAAATTGACATTACTGATTTCGGCACCTATTTTATGCATGAATCCTTATCATTCATATGCACGTGTACTTACGAAAGTTAGTCGACGAAGGAAGTGTTCTGGTTGGAAGTTGAAGAGACAAGTGAAACGCTGACAATCATTGCACAGGGTGATGTCACAGAATATCTACTGGGGGCAGCCATCTTCATTTCGTGGCGTTGGAACGCTTGAACGTGCACTCCGCCCACATCGAAAACAGCACAGGTCCCAAATGGGAATTCAGTCATTTTACGATTACGCATTTCCATCAAAGTGTTACTTACAGTGTGTTTATATTTTAATCCAGTTTGATGTAAAGTGTATCCATCATAATCCACTGGACATAATCCTTAGATATTTCAAGATCAGAATCCATTAATGTATAAACACAATCATCATTCTATGACCTGTTTTCGAGATACAACTGTGTGTTGTTTGTTTGTTTGTTGTTTACGCCGCACTCAGCAATATTCCAGCTATATGACGGCGGTCTGTAAATAATCGAATCCGCACTCAGCAATATTCCAGCTATATGACGGCGGTCTGTAAAAAATCGAATCTGCACCAGAAAATCCAGTGATTGACACCATGAGCATCGATCCACGCAATTGGGATACGATGACATGCATCAACCGAGTCAGCGAACCTGATCACCCGATCCCGTTAGTCGCCTCTTACGACAAGCATGGGTTGCTGAAGACCAATTCTAACCCGGAATCTTCACGGGACCAACTGTGTGTTGACTGTCACTAAATGTGTTTAACATGAACCTGAAATTCATTGATTTCGCTGTCTGCAGATATACAAACAACATTTAAATTTAACTGTTGTACTTTAATCAGATCTTGTATATTAGTATCAGTTGTCATAGGTAGTTCTGAGTGTTTGGGTTTTGTTTGTTTGTTTGTTGTTTAACACCACACCCAGCAATATTCCAGCTAGATGTCGGCGGTCGGTATATAAACGAGTCTGGACAAGATAATCAAGTGATAGATAACATGAGCATCGATTCCCCGCAAATGGGATACGATATGACATGCATCAACCAAATGAAGGTGTGTAAAGCCAGTGTGACCGATGACTGAAGAGAGGGTGTGTGAGTGTGCCTTCAACTTGTCCTCTGATACAATGAAATCATTCCTTACTCCTGTTATGATATGTGCTCTTCAAGTGGGGCCTGTTCCTTAACGACGCCGTTGTTAAAATCTATGGACGATCACCTTAGCTCCAAGATCGTTTTTGGAACGGTGCCATGGTCCCAGTTACCATAATGATAGTCTTGGAACTTGCCGATTATGTCACAAGTCCGCGCCCATTGATTCTGACTTTGATTTCACTTATTTATATTTATACAACGTTCCCGGTCTCTGTTAATCATGCGCCATGACAGTGGAATTTATATACATAAACATATATAATTTATTTTTTACTAAAAGCCTAGGCAAGTCTAGATTAAACTAAACCAAGTCTAGTTTCCTTGATTTCACAGCAGAAGGGGAAAGGTTGTTTTGATAAAAAAAACCTTCCAATTATTTCAGAGAAATGTTTTACCAGACCAAGCGTTAGGGTAGGTCTCTGTCTGCACCACGCTCTTTGGTTTTCAAGCCATATGCAGGGGCGGTCGGGTAGCCTAGTGGTTAAAGCGTTCGCTCGTCACGCCGAAGACCCGGGTTCGATTCCCGACATGGGTACAATGTGTGAAGCCCATTTCTGGTGTCCCCCGCCGTGATATTTCTGGAATATTGCTAAAAACGGCGTAAAACCATACTCAGTCAGTCAAGCCATATGCTTGTGCGATGTGACAACATCAAGCGACTGGTCAGACTTGGTTATTTTGTTGATTGCGTGTCATTGTATCCCAGTGACATGGGGCTTTGTTCATAATATCAATCCGCACTTTGCCTGCTCCTAACTCGATTATTTACATATCGCCTTCGACCCGTGAAGATCCGGGGTAGAATAGGTCTTCAGTAACCCATGCTTGCCGTAAAAGGTGACTATGCTTGTCGTAAGAAGCGACTAACGGGATCGGGTGGCCAGGCTCGCTGTTTGTTTGTTTGTTGTTTAACGCCGCACTCAGCAATATTCCAGCTTTATGACGGCGGTCTGTAAATAATCGAGTCTGGACCAGACAATCCAGTGATTGACATTATGAGCATCGATTCACGCAATTGGGATACGATGACATGCATCAACCACCCGATGACCACCCGCCTCTTACGACAAGCGTTGTCACCTGTTACGACAAGTATGGGCTGCTAAAGACCTATTCTACCCCGGATCTTCACGGGTCACCAGGTTTAGTGACAAATGCAACATGGATCAAGTAATTATGTTTTCCTAAAGTTTAACACGTGGAATATAGTGTACAATGTTAAAGAATCAAATGTTTTGGCAAAAAACAAATCCTTTTGTTTTTTGAGAATAAATTGACGTAATTCTACTTGGTCTCAAATACTTTATATGAATAAAAAGGAAGTCCTTCCTTGATTGTAGTAAGGATATGGTTAATCTTTGAGACTGGGATTTGGTGGTACATTTGCTGGACCGGCAATATTTCTCTCTTTGTACTGACTGTTATGCAGCTTTGGAATCCAGTACAAAAGAGGAATGGACATGTTTTCAGCTTTTAGAGGTGATCGTACTGATGCGTGGTTTGGGCAGATATCCTCCTCAGTAACATACTGGCCCTTTATGCGGCTTCTATCGAGTTCTTTGATCACAATAGTCGAACAGTTCCCTCATTGTATAGTTCCAAACAGCCCCAGTCATCAAGTGAGGTGGAATGAGGTGTAACTTCAGGCTCAGGAATATAGCGATGAGATACCATACCACAATTTAACATTGATACCCAACTCGGACACAACATACCCACCAGTCCTTTTTTTATCCACCCTTAATGATCTGTGCCAGGCATGGTAGCAACAAGCATGCTTTTTTAACGTCTTTTGGTATGAGACCAGTCATCAAGCAGTTTTGTTGTGGCATTGAAAAATGAGTACACAGATGTTACTTGGTGTTTCTTTTGTAACGCCAAATCTGGGATTCGAACCAAGGATCACAGGTTTGGGAATGCCTAAGGGACGCAACTCTTCACAGCAAATGCAGGATTTCGTACATGATGACCCTGCACCCTGGGGTAATGGGTAATGGGTGGAGATACGATGTACGCATGGCAGGGGTAAATCTAATGTTGTCCATCTTCATTTTAACTGTTTGGTCCATGCTGAAACTGCTTTCAAAAGGTTTTTACTTACATAAACGATGGAATTTACATTGACCCCCAAAGTGAGAGAGTGAATGGTGTTCAGTGCCAACCAGGGCAATAATAGCTGTATGACAGTGGCCTGCATGTTGATTTAGTAATGGAGTCTGGCGCGTAGCTCAGGGTACAAACCTATTGCCGAGCAGGAACCAAAACCTTGCATGAGCATGATAACTGCAGACTTATCCCCAAACCTCAAGCAGAACTATCTCCACCCTGCAGGCAAACCTATCCCCAACCCACAGGCAGAACTATCTCCACCCCGCCAGCAGACCTACCCCGACCCTACAGGCAGATATATCCCTATCCCACAGGCAGACCTATCTCCAGCCCACAGGCAGACCTATCCCCTCCGAACAGGCAGACACATCCCCAACAACAGGCAGACCTATCCCCACCCCGCAGGCAGACCTATCCTCACCCCCACAGGCAGACCTATCTTCTCCCCACAAGCAGACCTACCCCGACCCTACAGGCAGATATATCCCTATCCCACAGGCAGACCTATCTCCAGCCCACAGGCAGACCTATCCCCTCCGAACAGGCAGACACATCCCCAACAACAGGCAGACCTATCCCCACCCCGCAGGCAGACCTATCCTCACCCCCACAGGCAGACCTATCTTCTCCCCACAAGCAGACCTACCCCGACCCTACAGGCAGATATATCCCTATCCCACAGGCAGATCTATCCCCATCCCACAGGCAGACCTATCCCCTCCAAACAGGCAGACCCCTCCCCACCCACAGGCCGACCTTTCCTCATCCCCACAGGCAGACCTATCTTCTCCCCACAAGCAGACCTACCCCGACCCTACAGGCAGATATATCCCTATCCCAAAGGCAGACCTATCTCCACCCCACAGGCAGACCTATCCTCACCCCCACAGGCATACAGCTGGGCTATTGCCGACATTCATTCTCTCCTAGACAATCTAACATGGAGTGAGATGACTGTCTACTTATTTCAGTTATAGTGAGTGAGTGAGTTAATGCTTTACGTCATATCGGTATTTCAGTTATATGATGGAGTGTCAGCTTAATCTGATAGGAAAGCCGGGGTGACCTTTGTAGGCAATCTTTGCCACTGATGAACACGATGACCAGGCCATTGCAGCACCTTTGATCATTGGGCAATCTATACTGAACAAACAATGTTTGGGATCATGAATATTTTCATGAAATGGTGTGCTCAGTCTTCATTACAAAATATATCCCCAAAATAGTCATGATCCCTAACTTTTCTTGTTCAGTATATTTTATGAACATTTTTCCCTTTCAAAGCCAACATTACTTTTATTTATTTTAAAAAATTACATTCATGCCAACATAATGAACGTATGTTACTATTTATCCCTTTCTTTGTGTGAGTTTATACTATTTGGTAGCAATAAGGGATAAAACATGCAAAAACAGTCGAATTGAATCCCTGCACAGAGTTATCATGGTTATGGAAATTGAAAAGCCACATAAACAAGAGGTCACCCTGACTGGTATATGATAGAAGTTTGAGTACGCATATCTATAAGTTCTCAAACTCAAAGATATCAAACCCATCCAGACACAAAGTTTATTTTTGGAGGAGATATTTTATTTCACTTAATGAATAACAGTTAACATTTGTTTACAACAGAAAGGCGGAATGTAGCAGATTCTCGTATTATCTAACTATAGGATATAACTTGTAGCACTTGCAGGATGACATATTTGTCTAGGCAGACATGAGGACAAGCATGACAAGGGTGGGTAGCTCGCTAGAGTACATCAGGCTGATCAGAACACCGACTCTATAAAAGTACAAAACATCCTCCAAATGTACACAGTTTTGTCAACTGAGCAATCTGTCAGTCATTCTATAATATCACAATAGCTTCCTGCTGATGATGCTGGTTTAGTATTCAGAATACTGGTTGCTTTGTTCTTCTGGTAGTGAATGAGTATGGTTTTACGCCACTTTTAACAATATTCCAGCAATATCATGGCGGGGGAAACCAGAAATTGGCTTCACACATTGTACCCATGCCGGAAATCGAACCCGGGTCTTCGGCGTGACGAGAAAACGCTTTAACCACTAGGCTACCCGACCGCCCCTTTGTTCATCTGAGAAGCTGTCTATACCCAAGTTTGTAATCAGAATTCAGGCCAGTTGTTGGAGGTACATCACGCAATCAAACTTGTCCAATCATATCATAAATCGTAGAAATGTCGGAATTGTTGTTTTTGTGACAATACTATATTTTGAGCCAAATACCAGACCTTACAAATTGTGTCTAGTTTTGGGTTAGTAACCAAGGTAACTGTGTAAAACTATGCATGGCATAAGACATTCTGTTTAACACAGAGCCAGCCCACCCGTTACCATCCAAAACAAAGCTGTTTCATACATACCAAACCCCCCTTATCACCTTTGGTTTCCTAAATAAGTGCCCTTCACTTTGTGACTTGCTTTTTTGAGATTATCAGGTCTTCGACAGGCTTTTTTAAACTTGGTTTACAAATTTGTTGACTCCCAAAAAGTGACATGTGAAAAAAAAGAATAATTGAAAAGCAGCATGTTTTTCATTCCAATGACCACAAATAAGTGATATGTTTAATATAAACAAATCATTTACTGCCGCTTTCAATATAAACATATTATTTCAAATACTATATAATTAAAACCTGTTGAAAATTTATCATAAAAACAATAAAAAAATTATGACGAATCAGGACACGTGTGTACAAGGGAAGGGAGGTAACTATACACTTGTTTCTTTCCCTATTCCCCCTTGCCCTACTTTTTTTCATCTACCTACTCAATATTTTGAGGAAATAAAAACAAAATGTTTGAACTTGGACTTTTAAAAAATATATAACATTTTGAAATACTCACCGGATTTGGGGGGCAAGAAATTTGTAAACCAAATCAAAAAGTGTCTGGCATTGTTACGTTGTCAGTTGTCCTCAAAGAGTGAAATTGAATAGATGAAATGAGATCATAATCAGATTAACAATTTATGATGACTCTTGATATGTGTGTAATATGACTTACCAGTCACATGTTAACAGTTGTCCATGTTGTACAAGAATAACGTCTAAAGGTTATGTTTTTCTTGAAGTTCAGATCACAAACGTTCAGTCATGTTTGTGTCTTAAAACTATAAACTGATAAAAGACTTATCACATAAGCAGATGACAATGTTCAATTTGATATTTCATGCTTTCATGACAAAATGGAAAGTCAAATCTTGTAGTCTTTCATACTCTCCATACTCTGTCATACCAGTACTAAACAATAATTATTATGAACACTTATTCTCACACTACACACAGAGTTCTGTAACCATGGTAACATACTTTTCCACAGACAATGCACTGTCAAACAGTTTCTTTTCAAATTTTATTCAAGAACAGCTTTCAGGAAAGTATCTCCAGTCACGATGGCAGTTGTTGCTATGACGACTTTCCGACTGAACTGTCGCACTAAATATCGGAGAGCAGCGATTTCACTGAAGGTGCATCCTCCCAGAAAATACACGAGTACTGTGTCAGACTTGCTCTTGCTTCCATTGGGTGGTGTCTTATCATGACGGACGATACCACCTGGTATAAGTTTAATAACCTCGTCCATGCCAGTAAGTCCTCCCCGCTCAAGAATCTGTTCAACAATCTTACACAGCAGAGGCGTGTAGGCTCCACTGAAAACATACGACATGTCATTAGGACTCCGTAAGTTGATGTCATCCGGAGACTTTGGAATCAGATTAAGTTTTTTGGCCAGTGTTCTGAACTGTGAAGACTTGGCAATGCCTGGGAGTGACTTAGGTAATGGCTTGGCTGGAGTCAGGGTGGCCGTCTGCTCTTCCAGGAGACCGATTCTCTTGAGCTGGTACAGGTCAACCATGTGTTCGAAGCCCTTACTTTGCAGGAACTGATTGGTTATGCTCTTGTAAGTGCTTGACACCAACCCACCTTGGGTTAAGGAAAGCAAGCACAACAGTTTCAATGGCGCCAAACTGGAAACCTGTTTACATAGACTGTCTTCTATGTATGTTAAATTTTCTTTGGTTTCAATTCCCTCCAGGACACTATGCTCTGCCTTAATGTAATCTTCAAAGTCTTCACTTTTCTTCTTCTTCATTATTGCTTCACAAGCACCAATGTGGTAGGTTAAAGTTCGGTGCTGTGCCTTCAAATCTTTGAGGTCATTTGAAACAAAGTCCTTCATATCCCCAACAGTTTTCAAATCCTTCTTTTTGTCGTAACCAGTTTGTAATTCTTTGGTTTTGGAACTCAAGTAGGTGAAAACATTTGAAAAATGACGATCTCGAATGACCCTGTAGACTTCATCCTGAGAAGTCAGCAGTTGTTTCACATCTTGTGTTTTACCTGTGACCTCATGGCCAAAATTGATAATACCGCACTCAATCTTAAATCTTTCATCCAGAAGGGCCTCATATGTCATTGGCGTGCAGAGTGGGGTAACATAATCAACACTCCTATCAACCAGAATCAGCTGTCCAATCTGACTTCTGCTGTCTGCTGGGTGTGGAGTTCCTGAAAGTCCTCTCATTGAGTCCATAAGTTCATACACCATCTTGGACCCTTTACCAACACAGAACACATCAGGGATGACACCAAAGAAATTTTCAAGATTGACCAAAGAGGATGCCACAGTGTGTATCCATGTGTAGTCTTTATCGATGTAAAATGAAGAGAAGAAATCAGGTAATTCCAGTGACATCAAGTCTGTATCCAATGGAATAAGGTCCAGATGCAATTCTTCAATAGTCACGTATCCCGAAACACCTTCAGTTTCCAAAATCATTTCACAGAGTTCCAATTTTCTTGGAACTAACACGATTGTGTACAGCCGCTTATCTCCCCGATTCCTCTCCGCGTTAATCTGATCTGCTATCGCCTTCATAGTAACCATTTTGGCACGAACGATGTAAATTCGTCTCTCACTTCCGTGAATGACTTTCTGAGAAGGGTCAAGTTTGAAAATCTTCTCGACACCATGTTGCTTCAGAAAAGAAATGCCGGCAAACCGGTCAAAGGGCTTCGTTAGTTCGCCGTCTATTACCAGATCCTTCTGTTCTACCACTGTCATCAACAAATGGCCTAGCTGGTCTCGAAGGACCTGTGTTATTATGTGGAAGTCCATACTTCACAGCCAAAATCAAACTCCATACATTGTTGCCGCCCACTTCCGCCGCCAAAGCGCTGCTTGGAGCTCCAATAGTCAAGGCAGCGCAATTCTGGAAAATTACTCCTCCTTTCTGGTAAACCATGTTGTGCCTGATTTGGCTTTGGTTTGATTTTACGCCGCACTCAGCAAAATCCCAGCTATATGACGGCGGTCTGTAAATAATAGAGTCTGGAAAAGACAATCAAGTGATTGACATCATGAACATAGGTCCACGTAATTCAGATCGACGACATGCATCAACAAAGTCAGCGAGCCTGACCACCCGATCCCGTTAGTCGCCTTTTACGACAAGCATAGTCGCCTTTTACCGCAAGCATGGGTTGCTGAAGACCTATTCTATCCCGGATCTTCACGGTCTCACGAGAGATGGGTTGAGGTGAAATGGGGTTTACGTCGCGTTCAAGGTTATTGAACTTATATAGTGACGTGCATGCGTGTGTGCTTGTGTGCGTGTGCATATGTAGGTGATAGTGCTAGCCGTTCAACATGTATACCCTACTCAGACACAGTATGAGTATACCGATTCCGAGCCGACCAGTCCTTGTTTTACTGGGTGGTTAAAGCCAAGGGCCGGGCATGGTAACAACAAGTACCACCATTTAACGTCTTTGGGTATGATGCGGCCGGGGATCGAACCACCAACCTTCCGTTCTTTAAATGTCTATGGATTTTAATATTCACAGAAATGGACAAACCTGACAACACTGAACGCAAGGATGGCCTGGTGTATTGGTGTGTGACGGTGTCATCATATATCCTGGCGGTTTGGATCTGTGTTCACGTCGTCGGGCAATGGTTTGCCTGGTACCGATATAGTAATAGGATACACAACAGCTTGTATATATTGCCTTGTCAATAGTTTCAACTTACCTATTCTAAAACTTCAGTCACCCCAGTCACTACATCTGTAAGGTTTTCAAAGTCTCTCTTCAAACGGTTTATTTTCATTGTGGGGGGCACGGGTGGCCCACGCGTCTAAGGCGCCGCGAATCGCTGTGCATAGTTGCACGCCAGAAACCTATGATTGTGGGTTCGAATCCCGGTTCGCTCTGATTTTGTTTCTAGGTTTGTCAGCACCATACCCGTGCTCGTGGGTTTCACCGAAGTGGTAAGCGTCTGAGACCTGCATCACTTCGGGCTTTCCTCCCACGTTAAGCTGTGACGCCGCGATATAACTGGAATACTGTTAAAAGAGGCGTTAAACCCAACTCACTCACTCACTTATTTTCACTGTAGCTCACTTGAAACAGTTATTGTTAAATGACAGTCAAACAGGCAGTTTCCCTTGTTCAGATGGTGTTGCATACTCGTACAGATAAGATGCTGGCACATGATCATAGCTCGAATTGAATTAAGTGCCTGAACGTTATATAAAAAGTACAGGATACAACTGTAAATATTGACAAGTGTAAATAAATAAGGTGTAGATAAGAATGATAGGATTCTTGGGATTTCATTGTATCCATTCATAGAGAACTATGATGTATTCATTTTTTATTTCCGGCGCACTGGATAATTGCGTACATCTTCTTTCAGGTGTTGCATGCTGCTTCAACATATTGTATCATTAGTACTACAGTAAAATGTTCATCAGGTGACTCTGAAAAACAAAACCATGTCATTTTGTACAAGCTTGTTCTTAGCATGTCTTCTGAAACAGTGTAGGGTATCCCAATGGTTAAAACGTCCGCTCGTCATTAAGCACATTCCAGGTGTGCCCGCCGTGATATTGAGGGAATATTGCTAAAAGCGGCATAAAACAACACTCATTCTCACTTCATGAAATAATAATCCGATCCCAAGTCGAGCTTAATTGGGGACTACAGGCAATCCGAGCAAGTTTGGGGAATTCAAAATCAAAGCTCACTCAAGTTTTATCACGCATATGTCCGCGTGTGCGTGTGCGTGTGCGTGTGCGTGTGCGTGATAATGGCTCAGTATCACACATGGCACTTATTTCACTGCATAGAACATAACCAAACGGAGGCCTCGGATGAAGAAGCATCGTCCTCCAAATGCACCATGACGGACAATATTGCAGTGACATCGGCAGTCCGCGACATTGAAGCGTCCATAAAAGGTGTGACAGTCTGCCTCACACAACCAGAACATGCACAGAGTTCGGTAAAAGTAATTAGTTCGAGGAGGAGTTATTGATTTAACAGACCCATCGCCACAGAGACCATTCATGTGGTTCCCGGCACTCGCTGCGCGTCATCACCCAATTGAGATATGAAGAGACGGAACCAAGTTTACATTTTACGCTTCACCGCCAAAATAAAAAGGTGGACAAGGGAGTATAACTATACCTAACCAAAACGTAAGGGATCATGAATATTTTTTGGGTAAATTTTTATTGAAGTGCAGGCTGAGCACACAATTACATAAAAATATCCCCAAAATATTCATGATCACTAACTTCTTTTGTTCAATATACTTTGATGGGGAGAAAAACTATGGTCACCGAACTGTGAAAATGGAAAAAAACCCATCAAACAAATTTGAACTGTATGTACTTTCCTTGTTCAGATGTCTGGCGCGCAACCGCATCTCCGGATACAGTACCAAGCGTGTGTTTGTTTCACCAAACTGTCTCTGGAACATTGCGGGGGCAAGGGTGGTCCAGTCGTCTGAGGCCCCGCGGTTCGCTGTGCAGTGTTGCGTCCCTTGGACACGCCAGAAACCTATGATTGTGGGTTCGAATCCCGGTTCGCCCCAGTTATGTTTCTAGGTTTGTCAGCACCATACCCGTGCTCGTGGGTTTCCCTGAAGTGATAAACGACCTGCATCACTTCGGGCTTTCCTCCCACATTAAGCAGACACGCCGCGATATAACTGGAATACTGTTAAAAGCGGCGTTAAACACAACTCACTCACTCACACTGGAACATTGCTGTCCTGTTTAAACCAATAATGTACATACAGAATGCCATCTTGTCCAAATGCCATGAAGGTAGATGTATGACAGTTCTTTCTTTGTTTTGTCAGCAATAGTCCAGCTATATGACACGAAACAGTGATAGATATTATGAGCAACGCGTGAGACTCAACCGAGTCATAGCGTGACCCCTCGATCCATGCGGTCGCCTCTCATGACAAGCCCAGCTACGTTTCGAGGGGGGCACGGGTGGCCCAGTCGACTAAGGCGCCGCGATTCGCTGTGCAGAGTTGCGTCCCTTGGCCACGCAAGAAACCTATGACTGTGGGTTCGAATCCCGCTTCGCCCCGATTATGTTTCTAGGTTTGTCAGCACCATACCCGTGCTCGTGGGTTTCACCGAAGTGGTAAACGTCTGAGACCTGCATCACTTCGGGCTTTCCTCCCACATTAAGCTGACACGCCGCGATATAACTGGAATACTGTTAAAAGCGGCATTAAACCCAACTCACTCACTCACTGACGTTTCGAGGGGCCTATTCTAACCCGGACCTCTCACCGCGCGACAGTATCTACAATGTATCTAACATGATGTTTGACCTGGAGCACTCAGCGTTCGCTCGTTACTCAGGGACAGGGCTTTATATCCACTATGATAATAAGTGAATCAATTATTGGTGTCCCTCGATACGAATTTTCTATTCATTAAGTTACACTGTTCCATTGGCCACAGTTTGGAAGAGTGGGTGAGTGAGTATGGTTTTAGGCCACTTTTATCAATATTCCAGCACTATCACGGCGGGGGGACACCTTGTTTTAGCTCCTTAATGACGAGTGCTAGACAGGGTAACAACATGTACAATCGTTTACATGTTTTAATGACCTTTGGTATTATGCAGCCGGGGATCACCATACTGACCTTCCTCTCTTCAGGCAGATGATTTATCCACTAGAGAGAGTGAGTATGGTTTTACGCCGCTTTTAGCAGTATTCCAGCAATATCAGGGCGGGGGTCACCAGAAATGGGCTTCACACATTGTACTCATGTGGGGAATCGAACCCGGGTCTTTGGCGTGACGAGCGAACGCTTTAACCCTAAGCTACCGCGCGCGCCCCCAGTGGGGAAGAAGCCATGGACCTCCGAACCTGTGTATCAATCTAAAACAGATGGCGCCCCTCTGACATCTGACAATCAAATGTTCATACAATTTAAGAAAATTAACCTGCACGAGTGGCCCATGATGGCGTCTAAGTCGCAGTGCATCCCTGAGTTGCCTCCATTAGGTGTGCCAGAATCCTATGATCGTGGGTTCCAGGCTTCTGAGTTTCATCATAGTATCAAATGACCCGCATCACTCCAGGCTTTCCTCCCACATCAAGCTGACACGCCTTGATAACTAGCATCCTGCAGTCACACTCCAAAGCGCCACGTCAGACTGCACTAACACAGACGCGACACAGACGTCAACGAACGGGCAAAAATAAACCGCCATCTTAAAACTAGTAACATGAATATTTGGTTTTCGATAGATACAGACCAAGCGTAATTATTATCTTAACTTGACGAGGTATTTTTTATACGATAGCTGTGTGGACCGCTTGAGATTTTTGTCACAAAGGTATGATGGTGATTTTACGATGTTCATTGCGCTACGAACGCTTTGTTGATCGGGCCGCGATTCCGGAAAACCATTTGGCACTACGAATATAGTCAGTCAACGTTAGCAAGTGGGAGTTACGATAGTCGTAAATAGCGCTAAGATCGCTTTGCGGTACTGAGGGAAGGTCACCTAGTCCTCTACAGGCCCTGTATAGACCGAACTACCGCGATGATTGATGTGGTTGTCAATACATTTGCAATGCTCTGGTCCCGTCCATGTCGGTAACTCTTCCAATTTCCTTACTTCAGATCTGGCAAAACCCTGGCAATTTCATGTTTTTTGGCCGGAATAAAATTAAATTACCATACACATTGCAAACAAATCACGTCGAAAATCCGTTTTTTCGTATCAGTCCAGTGCAGTATCTTGATATTCGGAGAAAATCCTAAGAAAAGACCTCAGGTCATCCGTTAAACTTATTGGGATGTCGGATTTTTGTTCAAGATTTTAC